GTTATTAAGAATACAAACAACAATAAATGTTGGCAAGGATGTGGGGAAAAAGATTCACTCATACATTGCTGGTAGGAATGCAAATTGGTGTAACCATTATGGAAAGTGGTATGGAGATTCCTCAGAAACCTTGGAATGGAACAACCCTTCGACTCAGCTACCCCACTTCTTGGTTTATGCTCAAAGGACTTAAAAATCAGCATATTACAGTGATGATATCTCAGTGTTTACAGTAATAGTGGCTCAATTCACAATAGCTAAACTATGGAACCAGACTATGTAACCTTCAAAAGAAGAATAGATAAAAAATGTGATACACACACACACATATATATATATATATATATATATATATATATATATATATATATATATCATGATATATATATGATGAAATATTATTCAGCCTTAAAAAAGAATGAAATTATGACATTTGCCAGTAAATAGATGGAGCTGGTGAATATCATGCTAAGCTAAATAAGCCCAAAAACCAAAGGCCAAATGTTTTCTATGTGAATGGAGGGAGGCTAGGGAAGAATAGAATTACTTAGATTAGGTAGAGAGGACTGAAGGGAGAGGAGGGGTATGGGGGTAGGAAGGATAGTAGAATGAATCAGACATTATTACCCGATGTACATATATAACTATACTACTGGTGGGATTCTACATCATATACAACCAGAAGAATAAGAATTTATACTCCATTATATATGATATATCAAAGTGCATTCTACTGTCCTGTACAACTAATTAAAAAATTAAAAAAGAATTGATCATATGACTATACTAATTTATATTAATATGAATAATTAAAATATTTAAACTATTAATATAGCAAAGGTTAATAATTGGTTTATTGATAGAAAGTTAACCAATTATGACCCTTAAAAGAATACTCGTGATGACAAGTGGAGAGCAGGAGATAGCTGGGTGGCCCAAACTCACACCTCAAGAGATAAGAGCACACATGTTGTTACCAAGGCTCCTGTCACCCGCCGTCATCCCCAGAGTTCCTGAGCGGAGGCGTCCCCCGGATCTTGCCTCCGTTTCCATTTCCTAATTGCTGCTAAGGAGGATTCCAGCAGGCCCTGGTTTAGACAGGCTTATGACAACCGGTGGTGAGTCAGGAAAGAAAAGGCTTACAGAAATCTGGGACCTGAGACAAGAAGGGGGAAAATTAGGGACTTGGGGGTTAAAGAATCGTTTATCCCCACAGAAAGGATGAATAAATGACGCCAAGTGAGAAGAACATGGGGATGATACTGAAGACCTGGAAGGATGTCAGGGGGAACGTCGGAGCCACCTCACCTGAGAAGAGTGGCAGCGAACAGGGAAGGTAGCGAGACAGGCAGGACACGCATCTTGGTTTGGGCATTACATTCTGCACTGCCACCTGCATGCAGGAGCCAGATGAGCCCACGTCCCCAGGGAAAGCCGCAAAACTGGATTCAGCCAAACTCTGTGTCATGGGTAGTGGCCTTCTGAAGCAAAGCTCATCCACTGCTGACTGCTTTCCTGACGTGGCCCTGAAGCCATTTGGACAGAAGCTCAAGAGGACCCGGCAACCATGGTCAGCCTCCCAGGAAGCCCAACATAACATCCCAGCCTGGTGAAAGCCGCCAGAGGCTCTTAGGGACAGGGCCACTGAATTGGCATGCTCTTCTGTGTGAGAGAAAACTTGGTGTGGGAGGGTCATCCCACAGAAGTACACTCATAAAGTGGCCAAGGAACAAAGCCTATGTCACTATGACAGAGGAAACTGTTATTTAAAAAATAAAGAATAGAAGCAGCCCACCTTGGACATCCAGGATGAAAGCACCCTCTCCCAGCCTTGAAATTCTGGGTAAGATTTTTTTTCTATAAAAATTATGTTACTGAAAAACTTGACAACCAATTTTTTGGATCATTTTAAAAAAGCAATAGTTTCTTATTACTAAATAAAAACCAACTTGATTGATTGCAGAACTTAGATCCAATCCAGGGCCTCCGTCATGCTGGCCAAGCACTCCACTTCTGAGCTACATCCCAGCCCTGTTCTCTTTTTAAATAAAGGGATCGCTAATACTAGTCCTACTAAATTGCCTCTTAGGTGTTAGAGCAGAAACGGCATGGGTTTTCTTTGGGGGACTGTTTTGCTCACCCTTAAGTAAAATATATAAAAATAGTTATCAAAGGTTAAAAGTTAGAATCTTTCTTTCTGGGCCTAAATACTCATGGGCAAATTTGAAATTGGTTTTCATTTAGTAATAAGAAACTATTGCTTTTTTAAAATGATCCAAAAAATTGGTTGTCAAGTTTTTCAGTAACATAATTTTTATAGAAAAAAAAATCTTACCCAGAATTTCAATTTGTAAAAAAGTGGTAAGTGGATATTTATTAAAAATAGAATGCTCTAAGTTCAAATATATAATTAATGCAAAATAGGTCACAATTAAAACTCAAGTTTGAATTGCAGATTGTATCACATTGACATGATGAGCATTAGTAATTTTATATCATATTTATATTATATAGTTATTTTTATATCATTTTATATCATATAGTTGTATATCAGTCTCAACAATTTCATGTCAATCTCAGTAATCGAACATTTCTCCATTTCATTTTAGATGCACAGTATTGAGGAAATCTCGATTTGTTCAGATGGGACCCTTGCAAATGAGATTTGTAAAAATTCAGCTTGTTAACCGAGATATCAGCAAAAATCATCTATCCCCAGATTTTCCCCAAAGCCATTAGAGTTCAGCAAGGCAAGTGAACGTCTTGATGGTGCTAGAATTTGGTACATATCTGAGGTCCACTGGCTCTCCTCCTCTCCCTCTTCTGGAGTAAGAGCCATAGTCAAATTTTTTGGTTTTGTTTTTTTTTGCTATTGTTTTGGAAAATATTTTTCTTAAAAGCATGCTATGGGGTTGGGGTTGTGACTCAGAGGTAGAGCACTCGCCTAGCATGCATGAGGCACTGGGTTTGAGTCTCAGCACCACATAAAAATATTGTGTCCACCTACAACTAAAAATATTTTAAAAAAAAGCATGCTATGATAACAAGTAGTGGGTTTTACTGTCCTAAGCTACAGTAGTGTTTTAATTTTTTTGCTTGGTTTTCAATGTCTGGTACAGTACATCTCCATATAATTACAACCTCTTTGGGGCCTTTAATGATTCCCAGGAATATCAAGAGTGCCACTGTGACTGGTCTTCATCACACTGGGGCTCCACTTGGCTCTGACAGGCTCAGGGGCATTTACTGAGCAAGTGAGTTCCTTGGAGGAGAATGCATATGCCCAGCTGGTTGTCTGGTGATTGATACCATTATGCAAAGGCAGAGATCACGAGCTGTGGCTGAGATCCCTGCTACAGGCAGGAGGATTACAAGTTCAAGGCCGGTGGATTACAAGTTCAAGGCCGGCCTGGGCAACTTAGTGAGACATGACTCAAAAACAAAGACAAAAAATAAGACACGTAAATGCGGAGACCGGTATCAACATGAAGGTTTTCTTTTTGTCAGGGATTCCATTTGGCATATCCAGTTTGCATCGCTCAATGTGCTCAAGTGCAGGGCATCCACTCTGCCATCCAAGAACAGGAACACCGGAGAAAGCAGCTTTGCAATCCACCGAGGCCCACCAGTCCTCTAGTCATGCTTCTTCATCTCAACCCCAAGAGGTCAGCATGAGGGTGGAAAACAGAACCCAATTTCCCTGACTGGTCCAGCTCTTTCTATCACACTGTACAACACCTGGTCCAGGGTGAGGACCAGGTCTACCTGCTGCGCAAAGTTGGCAGATGAGGCTGACATAGGGCGCGTGGCCGCTCCCTCTGCCATCAGACATTGCTCACTGATAGTGCAGCCTAGAGAGGCCTTGGAATCCTTAAATGGCTCTACAAAAGGAATTTGGCCTACACTAAGGAATTGCTGTTGCCATAAACAAAGCTAGGGGGCAGGTCCCATCTCACCTGTGAATTTCTCCTCTCCAGAACTGCTCGCGATTTGGTGCAGGTGTGCGACCACTGATAATGAGCACACTGCTGACTCTCAAGTGCTACTTGCGCCTGTCTTCTCCCTCCAAAGGCAAAGTGGCCTTTTGATTTCTAATTTCCTTTTAAAGTTTACTGTGTGTACAAGTATCTCCCTCATTGAAGCAAGTAAAGATCTTGGGTGCATTTTTTAAAAATCTGATTTTGTGAGATGCTCTTTTCCTTCCTCCCTGGGGACCTTCTCTCAAAACTGTTCTAAAATCCCGAGTGGCACCTTTTCCTAAGTGCTGTTACTCTACATGCATTGCTCTGTGACTCAGTCATGTATCTTGAAATCTATATGACACATGTAATTTCCATTAATATGTGTTAAAGAAAAACTAACATCATACACATCCTCTGGCCTGGTAGTGTCTGTCATGCTTTTGTGGATGGTATTTTTTTTCCCTCTTCAATGTGGATTTAAAGTATTTATACACACAAACGTATATCCCTTTTACCCTCTAATTTTTGTTCTTCCACACTTGTGCTGGTGATTAAACTCCTCTGTTTCCTTCTTGTACTCTAGTGTAAATGGTCCCATTTGCTAAATTTCAGAAATTTGATCTATAGCTAACTTGGCCTGGTCTAAGGACAAGGTAACCACCCCATCCCCTCAGATTGTCACAAGTTTCATCCACACCATTATTCAATAATTCCGTGTCCACCCCAGCTCTAGACATCAGAGTAATATTTAGTCTCCTCTTCCTGACTTATAGCCGTTTTACACATGAATCATAGGAGCCACTGATTAGCTCCTTAGGAGGAGAAAACATTTTATTGGGATTGTAAATTCCTACCTAATTTTATGATGTCTTTCCATCAAGATCAGCGCCTTTCACTTTACAGCTTATTTGGATGCTTGGGAATTTTATTTTCTTCATCTAAATGCCCCAGAAGGAGCTACCTGAAGCCATGAGGGTCCCCCAGACCTTCCCAAGTCCCCCCCCACAGGCCCCATCACACAAAGCCAGTGACCCACAATGAAGAGAAAAGATATTTAATTATTTCTCAGGCTAATGTCTTAAAGCGCTCCAAGTGTTTTTCACAAGTGCAAGGCGGGGATTGTTCTCAGCCAACATTTACCAGTGATTCCGACACACGCAAAAGACTCCAAATCATGGTGCTTTATACTTACTTTTAATTTCTGCACTGAAAAAAAAAAAAAAGGTAAAACGATGACAATTAGGTAACAGTGACTTCAACTTTGCTGTTAAATTAACCTTTGCTCCTGTGGCAGAGGGGCAGGGAGACAAGAACATTGAAGTGTGACGATGGTGGTGACCAGGACATCTTAATCTGGCTAATAAGGGCTCTGAACGCCTGGACCTGGTGCTGTAGCCGCTAGCTCGGGAACATGACAGACAACAGTCAAGATACGTTTAAATAAAAAAAAAAATCCCACAATTCCATTCTTAAAAGCAAGCACAAAATCGACAAAAGAAATACATCCAGGGTTAATATGTGCCCCTGTGTGATCTGGGGGCGGTTCCTGGAGGCAGCCCTGTGGCAACACACCACAGGGGAGACAGACATCGGCTCCTCAGAACACAGCCTGTCGGCTGCAATGCTCGTCCCTTCTTCCCTCCCTGTGCAGGAGGAAAGGGGGAGCCCACTCACTCCCTATCCAAGCTCCCAAGCTCCCGTGGGACAGCAAGAGTCATGGGCTGGGTCTCTGTGCTTTGGAGGCTGTTGCCTCTGGAATGTTCCGCGTTCTCAAGCTCTGGTTGGGCTGTGGGTTTTAGTTACGCTCCACACGCTGTTTAAGTGCTCACTTTATTTTTCATGTGCAAACTGCTACTGTCTAAAGCTTTCAGAAGGACGCGTACAGACACGAGCACCCTGCAGGGACGCAGGTGGCCACCCAGGCCCTCTTCCCTCCTGGGCGGCGGGGGGCGAGGGGCGCGTTACAGAAACAGTTAAGAGAATATGCTCCGCTGCGGTTAAACACTAGTCCCTGATTCGGTCCATGGGTGGGGAGGGCGTCCTCAGTAGGTGATTGTCCACTCCTTGACAGAGGCGTCGTGGGAGGTGGTGACCAGCGTGTGCTCGTCTAGCCAGGCCAGGCTGCTGACATGGTGTAGCCGGTGTGCATCTGGGGAGAAAGGGAGCCACTTAGGAAGCTGGACCTTCTCTGCTTCTGTGTACACCTCAGTGTAGGAAGATGGAAGCAGGCCTGTGCCATCCACAGGGCTCTGGGAACCTGGTGGCTGTCAGCCAGATTCCCTTCCACCTTCAGAGGGACAAGCCTGGAAGGACAGGAGAGGGGAGCAGCCATGGTTGGCCTAGAGCTATCGACACTGCAAGGTGATGAGCAGCATCTCTGGCCTCTGCTTGCAGCCCCCAGCAGCTCCTCCCCAACACCAAAATGTCCTCTCCCTCCACAGGGAGAAAAACTCCTTTCTCTTTTATGCATAAAGCATAAAGTTTTAGGTAAGAAAACAGATACTCAGCCAATCCTCAGCATCTGGATTTTTTTTTGTACTGGGGTTTGAACCCAGTGTCCCTTTACCACCGAGCTGAACTCTATCCCTAGTCCTTCCTTCCTCTCTTGAGTCAGGGGATTACATGTGAGCACCATGATGCCTGGGGTCTCAGTATTGGGTTCTGCATCTGTGTTCTCAACCAGCCAAGGATCCGAACTGCAGATTGCCCACAGTGGCTATATCTATCAGAACACAGACTTCTCACTGTTCCCTAAACAACAAGGAATAACAATTATTTACACATTGTTACGTTGTTTTAGGTATTATAAGTAATCTAGAAGATGTGTCTAAGTTATATATGGATACCTGCTTTATTCAAGGGACCGGAGATTTTGAAATGTGATGATCTGAGATCCTGGAATCACTCCAGAGGGACTACTATGCATATCACCAGTGGTACTGAAATGGGGGGGGGGGGTCTTTCCAGTTCCAGGAATGGGGTGCCTACCCTGGGTGGCCCCCCAACTCTGGGTCTATACTCCCACCTGGACAGGAGCAGATACAGCCCCAGAAGTTAGCCATGAGGCCTTGATCAGGAGTCTCTGAAGGCGGGTGGCACATGGTGCTGGTGCGCAGGTATGGTTGGACCTCAGTGCTGTGTCCACATCACCACACTGGTGGGTGCACAGCTCACCCTCGTGCACAGAAGGCAAGCTAGAGGCAAGTGGTGTTGGAGGTCCTGGCTGAAGTGCAGGTTCAGGACCCCCTTCTCCCCACCCTGCTGGCTCCTACAGTATTTGGTCCTTGATTGGTCTCACTCATGAGCCTGCTGATTCTTACTATGTGGCTGAACACTTCCTTACAGACCAGGACGGCCCCCGGGAACCTGTCAGGCCTCCTCCACCTGGGCCTTGGCACACCCTTCATTCCCTGCAGCTCTGGGGTGGACTCGGGTCATCCTAAATAGGAAAGGATCCAGCTGTACTCAACATAAAGATTATCTTCTGTGGGCAGAGTAGAGGAGTGGCCAGGGCAACATGGAAGCACTTGGGAAGAGGGGAAACTTGAGAACCTTGCTGTCCCACACAGGGTCGACAGCCACGGGCCACTGCAGAGCCCTGCGGATAAGCCACTAGCATAAGTGAAAGTGATTAGATGCTGGGCTAAATCAAATATACTCTTAAAAATGACATATTTCTTTTCAAAACAGAAAATCTACCATCCACATGCAGCTTACGTTTTCGTTCTACTGGATACCATCATGACAGGAAAGGCTGGCTGTAGATGGAGATTTAGGAGAGTGGATAGGAAAGACATCAGGAGCCCTGCTCCCAGGTGCCACCCAGGGAGAAGTACGCCAGAGTCCCTCTGCTGGGGTCAGCAGAGCACCTTCTGTTAGCCAAAGAATCAGAGTCCCAACTCTACTGGTCACCTCTCTAGACGACGATATAACCCTAGACACTCAGCCCTGGGGACAGTAGCCAAGGTACAAGTCTCTGGAGTGGCCTGGAAGCCCCGCTAGGACATTCCCTGCTAAGGCGTGGGTGGAGTCACCTTGAATCTTGACTCTGGTTTCTGGGTCACTCAGGGTCCAGACGTACACCATCATGTCCATGCCACCAGAGGCAAAGTGCTCGTTGTCTGGTGACCAGGCCAGGCAGACGATTTTTGCATGGTGTCCATAAAAAACGTTGTTCTCCTAATTGCAGGTTGAAAACAAAGGTGGAAAGGTCAGGGTTCAGATGAATTCCTCCACACGAGGGCCCACGTTCGTTAAGCACATGCACTACGCTGACAGCACTTAGGGGTCTCCATCTCCTTGAAATAATCACAAGAGGTGTCTGGTACCCCCAGGGACAAGGAGACAGGCTCAAAAGGCACAGCCAGGAGCCTCCTGCCACGGGTTCTCCAAGCCCATGCTGCCCAGCTCAGAAGGGTCTGAGGCCCACTCACCGAATAGCCATCAGCAACGCTGAACACGGTGACCACCTTACTGGCATCACACACGGCGAGGAAGGCGCCATCATGGGAATAGGCCACGTCTGTCACAGGGCCCTTGGCCTCCAGGAGCTTGCCCTCATCCTTCAGTGTGCTGCCCAGGATTGAGTACACACGGACATTGCCATCCTGTAGGTGTGGACAGAAGTGGGGAGTCACTCCCTGATGTGCAGGAGCTCTCACCTCTTTTGAAAGGAAAGGGCAGGCTGTTAGGAAGCAAGCCTTTTCCCCTGCCAACAGGGCTCTGGCTGCAGGGGAGCTGTTCTTTCTTCCCTGGCACCAAAAGCCCCCAACTAAGGTCTTTAACAGTTCTCTTGGCTTCCTCCCATCAGGGAAGAATGAGCAGGAGGTTATTAGAACTGAACTCCAGGCCTCCCTATTCTGAATCTGTGCACTGAATGCTTAGGAGCCTGCTCTTTCTGCTCACACCCCACCCTGTCAGTTGCCAGGCAGTGCTCACAGGCCAATCTGGAGAAACCCACGCACAGCCCTCCAGGGTGCTCCACAGGTACCTCTACTCCCACCAGTGGGAGAGCACTCCCTGTCCACATGCTGGCAAGCTTCCCAGTCACCTTGTGCTCAGATACCTCCTTTCAGGGAGGCCACACCTGGCTTCCAGGGACTTTGACATCTTAGTCACCACTGGCTCCACCTGAGGGCTGGCCCTAAGAAGCGTTACACATGCCTGGAAGGAGTGAGGGCTGACAAGATGTACAGTGACCCTGCTAGAATCCCCACCCAGCCCCGTCCTCCTGTGCTGTCAAGAGCCCTTCCTGGACTCTTGATGCCTACTGGTAGCAAGGGGTCAGGGATTCGTGGTCTGGTAAGGAGGAAATCGGCCACAGGGAAAGCATTCAAATCAAAGGTGCGTTCCCAGATTGCCAAGATGGCTCAAGGTGCACCCAGGAGATAATGGCATCAACCACCAAACCTAACATCAGGCTAAATAAGCTGAGACACTGACTTGCTGAAATGTTACCATGTCATTGAAACAAACGAAGCCTCTTTCATGAGAAAGAGCACCGCAAGTACAGAGTTGTGGCCCACGTGGCTCATAAAGACGTGTGGCTAGACTAGGAGATACCAGGGCAATGGGCACTGTGGAAGCCTGAGAATCGGGTGTGGTGGGGGTGGGGGGCTAACCCAGCTTCCTCCTCCATGTGGCCATGTGAAGGGCACCTTCTCACCTAACAGGAAACAATTCAAGGTCTAAGGAGCAGGGCGTGGTAATGAGGGCACAGAAGGGAGTCACCAGGCTCAGACCCAAATGTGCCAAGGACCTGGCTGTCCACCCCTCATGAATAGGCAAACATGCCAGAGGGTAGCTTGAGATGGACCAGGAAAGGCCAGTGTGGGGAAGGAGAACAGTGACAGGCCCAGAGCTCCAGAGCAGAGCCATGGGGACAACGGCCACTGGAAATAGGGCCGGGCTTGGGTACAGGCAAGAGGGGGCGGAAAAGTGATGGACCCTCATGGCAAAGCAAGGAGCATGATAGGCCTGTGGGGCCGGTGGTGCTGCCAACCAGAGCCAAAAGGAAGAGGTGGGTGAGGGGCTGCTCCTGGGCAGGAGCTGCATGGCTCAGGCACAGGACAGCAGGTGCAGCCACACAGACATGGGTTACTTCAGCTATTTAGCTGGCCAAAGGTAATGTTTTACATTTGTGAAAAGTAGAGATGGCAAGGTCTACATGTCACTAGGATCACCGAGGATGGTGACACTAACAGCAGTAAACAGTAGTTGTGATTGAGGTGCTAGGCCCACCCTCCTGGTCAGAATGACCCCCAAGGTCAGCTTTTTCCCATCCAGCAGGAAACCAAATGGAGCAACATGTCTAACAGGCCCCATTAGCCCCAATGGGGCTGTGAAGGCAGCCAGCAGCCAGGGGCAGTACGGGCTCAGACCAGTGAGGCCAGGCTGGAAACAGCAGATGGGCTCTAGGTGGGAAACGGCTCTTGGGGTGGGGGTGACTCCCTTGGGGGAGTCAGGGAGTCACCAACTGGCTGATCCCATGGTCCTTGGTCTCATACCCTTCCATAAGCCAAAGCAGTGAATGCAGGAACAGCTTGTGAGGCGATGTTTGGGGCTGCCGATGGGCAGGCAGGGTGCAAGCTGCAGAGCTGGCGCTATAGCATGTTCCCACACGCCAGGCACTAGGCAAAGCCCTTCTTGCTCGCGCCTAGACAGCTGTGAGGAAGCTCATCAGCATCTTTACACACTGTGGCTTCCCGAGGGCCACAGCTGGCTAGGGCAAGAAGCTGACCTGCACCCAGCAGGCTGGCCCTGGAGCCTGGCCTGAAGAGAGCAAGAGATTGCTTTCCTCAAGGGTTCAAGGGTGTGTATGATCCTCAGCGGTGGGACTCAATCAGAGGCACCACTCTCCTAGGACAGGGAGAGGAGGGCATGGGCTGCCTGTGAAGCCCTTAGGACTCGCCTAACAAATGATTAACTGCTCTGTATGCCTGGACTGTAGCTACTAAAGGTGATAAGAATTATGCTATAAATGAACAGAAGCCAGAACTCAAGGCAAACAAAAATGACCAGGTTAATGTTTTACCCAGAGGATGTCAGGTATTCTTTCATTGTTGTCCTGCCAGCTATGAGTCTAATCAAGAGACACCAAGGTACACCACCCTTATTGTTCCCTCTCACCTCTCAAACATGCAGGTTGACTCCAACTCCATGGCCAAAATGTCCCCACCTAGGTGGCTCCCTGACCTGTTTGCCACCCTTAGTGTCTTGGTCACTGGGCTCCTAAAGCCTGGGGACACCTTGGCCACACTGTGGCCCAGAGGACACTTATTAAAGGTCTACAGATGGAATGACCACAGTGCAAACATGGCCCAGCTCACCAACATACCTCTGGCGATGCTGTCTGCCCGCCACAGGCGACACACCCACGGACCTCAGCAAACTGGCCGTGCCAGGAACCAGAGAGGCTCCCACCTCCCCAGCACTCACACAGCTCACGCAGTCCCTAAACTGCTCATACACAGGTTGGAGGGCAAAGGAGAAAGGAAAAGACTTTATTTACCGTGCCTCCGACAGCCACTGTGTCCCCAGCAGGGTGCACTGCCACGACTTCCGGCTCGTAGCCAGGACTGTCAATGCTGAAACACTTCTTCTGGTCCTTCAGCAGGACAATCTGCAGGAGGAGCGGAGCAGCGTTGAGGCAGTGCTCCTCATCCTGGTGGACCTGGGCTCTGAGCATAGCCCAGGGTCAGTTCCAGCCTTTGACCCCAGTCAAGTGGGGCAGTGACAGGCCCTGTCAGCCAGTATCTCAGTAATGTTGGCCATTACTGTCATCACTACATTACGACCAAATACAGGAACCAGTTTCTGGAAAGCTGTGGAGGTCTCTGAAGGACAGGGACAGAGGGAAAGCAGCAGGGACATGACTCTACAGGGTGGGGTGATGGCATAGCATGTGGGGATCCAGGCTCTGGTTTCTCAAGTCAGAAGACACAGCCAGTACCTGTCATGAACACATGTTGCCTGGTACAGCTGGGTGTCTACATGGCAGACAACACAACAAACTCAGTGCCCAGCGTTTTCCCAAACCCAGTAGGCCAGCAGCAGAGCTCTATGGACCCAGAGGGGAGGGTGAGGTGGAAGGGCATCACAGTGGGGGCCTGAAGGCCTGGCGCAGCCCAGCTGCTCTGTGGCGAGAGGACACCCACCTCTGTGGGCCCTAGGGATTCTGCTGAAAGGGGCAAGAAGACTGCCTGGGGTGGCCAAACTGCACTGGTCTCAGTCCTTAGAACACCGGATGTGCCAGCCCAGGTGTCCAGGGCTCTGCAAGTAGGCAGTAGCCTGATTCTAACCCTGCCATCTACTGTTCATGAAGAAACCACAAATGGTCCAAGGGATGAGCCCAGCAGGGTCTAGACTGCATGCCCAGGAGGAACCAGGCACTAGAACAGTAACCAAGCAGCATCTTGCTGTCAGCCAGAGGAGGGCCACCTGCCTCACCAGGAGCACTGAGACCTAGAGATAGCAGGGATCAGTTGTCTCATGTCACAAGGGAGAAACAGGGCAGAGAGAGCTTATGACACATGCCCGAGAGGCCCACAGCCCTCAAGGGGTTGAGCTGGGACTCATGCCCAGAAATCAAGAATCCCTGCCCCTGGCTGCCATCCAGGACGGAGGTACCCAGCAGAGGTCCTACATGCATGGAACCCTCCTCCTCCTGTCTGCCCTGAATTATAACTTCCTAGACTGTTCCCAGACAGCATGGCCTTGGTGTGATGACAGTTTTGGCTTGGTTCCATCATACTCCTTTTCCTAAGTGTGGCCCCTGCCTCCTCAGGGGCCTCTCTTCTGTGCCGGGGTGGCCAGCACCTCATGTACCCCTCTGCTGTCTACCTGCCACAGGAAGAAGCAGCCTTGCCTCTGACAGGTGTGGATGAGGGCACACATACCTGCCTGAACCTCCAGAGACTAGACTTGAACCTGGCTTTTCTGATCTAATGTCTCAGGCCATTTGCAGTGCTCCTGGTCACATGAGCTATAATGGGCCCCTGCAGAACTCCTCACCTGGACAGGAGTCACAGATGCCCCTGAGAACCAGGTGAGTCATGGCAGATAAGTAGAAGATGCACATGCACTTCCTTGGGCCCCTGAGACTTCTGGGAGCCTGTACCCTGGACTGCTAGGACGCTGCAGGGAAGCTCACCAGCACTTCCTGAGCAGCAGCTAGCTGGGCCCCTACCTGCCCCCCTCTGGTAACTCTCACCTTGTAGCTTGGAGGCAGGGAGCAAGCACTCTGCTACAGGTCCTGCGCAAAGAGAAGGCCACACCCATATCCTCCCCCACTGCCTAGAAGGGCTGGGGTTCTGATGCTGAGGCTTCTCCCCTGTGGAGAAGCAGTTCCCACCCCAGGCGTCCCATGCTCCTTCTGTGCCCAACTGGCCATTCAGGCTGTGTGATAATTACTTGGCAAGGAGTTCCTGTTATCTGGGACACACAGAAATTCATTCTCCCTGAAGCAATTGGGTTTACAGACCCAGGAAAGGGTGGGTGCATCCAGAATGGCAGCTTTCTTTAGCATGGACTGTCATTGGGCCTATCACCACCTGACTTCCCTGTCCACACAGCAGGATGCCAGGCTGCTGACAAGATGACACGCATCATGAAACAAAATCCTGTTCAAGTGGGTCAGGTATGGATCACAATCAAGGGCTCTGTGTTCCAGAAGTTCCAAAAGAGAAGTGAGTGGCCTCAGTGCGGGAAAGGGAAGCCAGGCTGTGTAGTCAGCCCACTCAGCCTGGGTGTCACCCTGCCAGCACGAGGCCTGGCAATGTCATCAGACAGCTCTAAACTTCAGCTTCCTTTTTTGTTAAAGGAGCTCAAGATATGAGTCTGACATGATCATATGTGAGTCTGTAATGCGCAGAGAGGGTGAGGCAAGTGCCTGAAGCTGCACAGCTCCAATGCAGCAGGGCTGGGATGTGAACACAGACATGACAAGACCATCTAGCCAAGCCCCTCACAGACCCAATGGGTTAATGGGCTGCAGTATGGTCTGCTGTTTAGAGACAGATCCCAGCCCTGCCCTTTTACCTGCCTGACCACAGGTAGCAATGCATCCCTTATTTATAAATTGGGGGCAATGTTCTGCCTAACTGGTAGGACGGCAGGGAGCATGGCACAGTGCCAATGGGTGCTAGACAAAAGTGCTGGCTGCAGTTACTGCCACATGGGACATGAGTGGCATTTAGACACTAGACATCACAGTTGGAAGCTTCAACCCCCTATTCCACCACCTGCAGCCAGAATGAGCCAGATCCATACCTGCCCGATGCACACAACCACAGCATATCCCCCAGGGCCGACGGCTACGCACTTTGGTTGAACATCCAGTTTCACAACTCCTTGTCCACTGTGGAGAAAGGAAAGCATTACTTCCACATGCAAGCAGCTTGGTGCAGGTATTCAATATATGTGCACTGCAAACCCACACACTTAGCCATGCAGAAGGAGATCCTGCTGTAACCTATACTGAAGGAGCAATTTGCTACATTATGGAGGATGGTTTAAAAAAAAAAAAAAAAGACACCTTACTCTATGGCAGTGGTGGCCAATTATGATGGGAGACTAGCGTGTGGTAAAGGAGGTGGGGAAAGGAAGTGAACAGTCTGTTCCTATTTACCTGTGACAGGACCCTGCCACCCTATCATTCCACCAAAGCTCAGCTTCTGTCCCCAGGGCTGCAGATCAAACCCAAGTTTTTTGCTACAGACAGGAGGGAGCAGAGCTCAATTCTAACGGTAATGGTAGGACCATTCTTGCCAGTAGCAGAACTTTTAAGATTTCATTACCTTTCACAGACATTACCTTCCTTTGGTCTTGGCTAATGCTATAAAAAATCATCCCTGAATAACTTACACATGCACCTACTTCTCGCAAACTGTAAACTGAGAACACTTCCATGCAGCTGGGCCAAATGTGGAGCCCAGTGGTTCCCTGGACGGGCTCTGCAAGGTCCCCAGGATGTGGCTAGCTTTTTGAGAGTCTTGGGTTCTCTTGGAGCGTGTGGCCATGGCCTGCCCACAGGAAGACCTTCACAAGGGACATGTTAGGAACAGGGTCACCACAAAGCAGCAGACACTGGATGCCTTCTGTACTTGACAGGAGATGACAGGGTCAGAGGCTGTCAGCCAGCCAGTGAGGCATGGGTATCAAGTGCACACACTTAAGCAGGCTGCAGTGCCTATGAGGCTCAGCTGCTCCCCAGGATCATTGACCCCAGGTGAGACAGGTCCCAGGCAAAAAGCTGGGGTCTGCATAGGATAGCAGCACAGGGCAAGGGAGGGTCAACCCCAGGTGTGGGGACATGGGGTCAAGAGGCCCTGTCAAGTCTGAAAGTCTCTACGTCCCACATTAGGGACATGCAGCGCTCCCTCCACTGCCCCTCACCTGCACCTGGAACTTCTGGTCCTTGATAACAGCTATTCTCTAAGCTCTAATGACTTGTCATTTGAAGATATCAGAGCAAAGCCAGGAGGACAGCATCTCTGAATCAGTGCCTGTGTACCCATCTCAAGCTTGAGCAGGTATGTGCTCTGTGCCAAAGCCAGGTGCCCTGAGGGCCTCACTTGACTGACCTTTCCACTAGCCTGGGACTCCACCATCACCCATCTTTACTGATGAGAAAAGAGGTACAAGCGGCCCAGCAAGCTCCAGAAGAGCAGGTGTATGATCTGCTATTCACTCCCAGGACAGAGCCTACCCCTGGTCACTGTTTTAGGAGCTACATGTAGGTCACATGGACCCTGTAGCTCAGACCTGACAACAGAACAATGCTTAGAAGTGGAAAGAGCAAATAAAACATCACTGAGAAAAGCCACTGCCCCTAGTGTGGGCCCTTTGTGGGCAGCAGTGGCTCATTATGGACCCCTCCAGCCCATCCCTGGCCCCACAGGCAGCTCTCACCTGTAGTCCCTCAGCATGAGGTTGGTATAGCGCACAGTGTCATCCATGCTGCAGCTGACGAGCTGCCCAGACTCGTCCACAGTCATCCTGGACACCTGATTCGTGTGGCCTTTTCCAGAAAAGGAGTCATTTTCCCCTGTCTCTGAATCCCAATAATGTAGGGCAGGGTTAAGGATGGCCTCAGAAGGGTGGTGCCTGCCATAGCAATCCCTTGCCCAGGAGGCCCAGAAAGAGCAGCAAAGCAGTGAGAGGACACAGGCACCCTCTCAGACATTCAAGCCCAGCATTTCAGAAAGCAGTGCAGTGTCCTGACTGCAGGGCAGCAGGTTGTCCGACTCCACGGACCGAGGTGGTAAGAGCCTGACTGCTCCAGAACATGGAATCCTATCTGTGACAGCACAGATCAAGCATCCCCAACCCAGAAAGTGCCAAAGTCTGAAACTTTCTGTGGACATGATCCTGTAAATGAAAATCCCATTCATTCACATGATGGTACAGTCAAAATGCAGGCATGTTAAAAATACTGTACATAAAGTTACCTTCAGGGTATAAGGTATACTAGGTACACTATAAAACAACTGCAATTTTGTGTTTAGACTTGAGTCCCCTGCAAACTTATATATGCAAATATTTCCAAATTTGAAAATAATCCAGCCCCAAAATGTCTGAATAAAGGATGCCCACTATGACTCATGGAAGTGCCCTCAGAGGTGGTTCACAAAAGACTAGAGAACGCTATGCGTGGAGTGGACAGCTCAGATGGACACTGTCTGCTGGAACTCTGGGCAAGTAGGCCGTCTCATTTGTTTTCTGTTACACACAGTCAAGCCCATGGCCATCCCCAGTGAGGCTGGCTATGCAACATTGCTCACCAGGTGATGCTAGGTGACAGACCCGGGGGTGACACACCTTTCCATGGGCCAGTGTACGGTTTCTGAGCCTGAGGTGTCCAGGTGTAAGTTGTGGCTTAAGCAATGAGACTACTTTTACACTGACAAACAGGAATCTTATTTTCAATGAAGATCATGGTTCTTTGGAAGCTGACTGTGTGTTCAAGGTTGACACTGCTGGGGCGAGTCCAGACAGGTGCAAGACACGGCTAAAGTCAGGGACTTTAAAGTCCTGACACTAGGACAAGAGAGCAGTGCCCAGGGCCTGCTGAAGTCCAACTGTGACCACAGGAGACTGGTCCTCGGGCCTTGTCTGCCACCAGCTGTGATGCTTTTCCTCCCATCCAGTGGGGCAGAGAGGGGCTTATCTGCTCCCTCTGTAGGCTGGAAGAACCTTCTTGGGTCTTATAAAAACCTCAAAGCCCTAAAGAGACAAGGTGGGCTTCTGAGGCATAAAGAAAGGGGTGTGGAGCAGCCCACTCCAGGAGGGACAGTGGCATGCAGAACAAAGGCTATCTACACACAGGGTGGCCTGGCACTGCGGGAACATACATGGCAGGGGGCAGAAGGAAATGGTGACTGCTGACTCAATGGAGTGTGCAGGCACCTGGGCCCCATCTACCCTGGAGTGGCTGCCCAGGGCTTCAGTGTGTCCTTCGAGGACAGAAAGCACAGTAGGAACCCTTGGACAGGGAAGCTAGTGTGGGGGCCCCACATGCCTCCAGGGAATGTCACTGAGGAGCCACATGGAACCTCCTTGGGACTTCTGGTCTCAGCTGTGTTGTTCACTGGCTGTGGGACTCTGAGGAAGAAATCCTATCTCTTTCAGCTTGTTTTTCCATTTTCAAGACTCCATCAAGGGGTTTCTAAGACCTTCTGAATTCTAAGACCCAATGACTCCACTGCCTGTGACAGGGACAAGGTTAGCACCAGCTGTCCTTTATAAGAAAAGAAGCTCATGTTCAGAGACGCCAAGCAGCACACTGAGCTGCACAGCAAGAAGTGCCTGGCTGTGCAGTGGCTGCAGGGCTTCCCGAGTCCACAGCCTGAGACTAGGAGCCCTCAGTGCAGGCCACGCACCACAGAGGGCAGCGCTGCTCAAAGCTTGGTGCTGGCGCTTGTGCCACCTGGCTGGCCTGACCTCCAGCACCGTGGGAACAAGAAATTCTGCCAGAGGCTAGAGCCAGCTCCCTGAGTCAAAGGATATTAATGTGCCCATCGTGGCTCCCAGAGTAGATGTAGGACTTGCCGCCGTTTTTGTGCACCGTCAGACACTGGATTGACTTACTGTGGCCCTGTGGAGGAGAAGGCCAGGGCAGGGTGAGCTGAGGACTTGCTGCCCTGCCCTCTGCAACTTAACTTGTCAGTCACTCTTCTGGTGAGAGGGAGGAAACAGGTCCCTCAACATGTGCAGACGAGGATGCAGAGACACTGGTCACCACAATGCCCATATACATGTTCCACAAATTGCAGCTGGTCTCCCCATGGTTGATCAATCATCTGACAAACCCATGCCATTTTGTGCCTCCTCCCAGGCACTGGCTCCAAGGACATGGTCCCATAACAACAGCACTTGAGCCTTTCACTGTAGACATACATGCCTTTGCCCAGCCACTTTCAAGCCACCTATAGGAGGAAATGCTGCTCCTGCCTATCACAGGTGAGAATCCTATCTGGATTCCACCTTGCACTGGATGAGGTGGACATGAGGGTAATCAGTGCTCACACAGCAAGCTTGCCACTCTGGCTTCAGGCCCTGCCTGGTGAGGTCTCTCCCAAATGCCCACTCCCAACCAAAGCTGTCCAATGACCTGACACCCCTACCCGAACCTCCTTGACTGCTAGGGACTAGGGTGCATGAGTTTGAGTGTGTGTGTGTGTGTGTAGAGGATTCGTCTAAACCAGACACGTGCTTCCAGAGGTGGCATTTAACCTCTCCTATAACTGCTTCTGGAACAGAAATCCTGGCCGATGTGTGGTCTAATCAACCTCTCCCCGGCCCCAGTGTCTCTCTGTTCTTTATCATCAAGTTCAAGTGCCAGCTGGCACAGTGCATGCTCAGGGCTTTTTCCCAGGAAATTTCCAAGCATTTTGTGGGGTTCCACTTGCTACCACAATATGGCATTTACCCTCAGAGAAAGGTACACACAGTTCTTGGCAGGATGGAGAACCAGTGAGTCATTTCCATCTTTCTGGTGGAAACATGGGGGTGAACTCATTATGTGTCCCAGTAAGGAGCATTATGAGCCAGAGGATCTCTTCTCAACAGCATCCGGCCCATCCTGCTACTTAAAGTGTGGTCAAATCAGTGGGGCCCTTGCTGGGAATCTAAGCCTGCCTGACCAGCTGACAGAACCTATGCTCAGCAAGACCCTGGGGACCTGCATGCCCACTTGCTGCCTTGTGAAGGAGGCAAGCTCTCAACCTATAGCTATGCTGTCACTGGTGTCCCTTCCACGACCAGAGTATTAAAAAAGCTGGCTCTTATGTTAAGCAAAATAAAGACACTCAGAAAGTCAAAGGCCATACGTTTTCTCTCACGTGGAAGCTAGAGAAATTGCATGTGCAATTTCTTGTCATTGTTCTTGGGGGGCCCAGCAGAGCAGTGTCGGTCTTTGGTAAGCCTGCTTAGCTTCTCAGGCATGACCTCCCTGCCTCTAGGCTATGCACTCCTACCCTTCCATACTCGTCACCCCAAGGAATCTGGGATCTGATGCACAGAAGGACTTCCGATTCCCTGTCTTTAGGACAGCACTGGGCTTCCCCACTCAAGGAGTCACTTGCACGGAGGCCCCTTCCTGTAAGGAAGTTCACCTATAAAGTGGAGATGATGACCTTGCAGAGCTCGGACCCTCTGAGGCACTGTTACCTAGTTCATAGCAGCTAGGCCACAGGGCGGCAGGGAAGTGCTAGGGTTTCCACCCAGAGCAAGTAACCACAGGAGAAAGCTCAGCTGCCAGGATGGGGTTCCTGGCACAGGATCTGGTTGTGGGCTCACCTAAGTGGACTACCAGAGACAGGGAGGGTGACCTGAGCTACCAGCAGATGCAGGGACATGAGAAGTGGCAGGGGCAGGTGGAGGGAGAAGGCAGGCCCCACATGGCCTATGGAGCGCAGGAGCCTGCAGCACCTGGCACAGTTGAGTCCTCCCATGAAAGGTTCAGAAGCCATCACCAAATTCTCCCCAGGCTTTCTCCCTTGGACTTTCACGTACTTCCTCCAAGTTCATGTGCTACTGCTCCCTGATACTGAGGGCCATGTCCAAATCATGCACACTGTCTGCCCAGTCTCCAGGTCCTTGCTGTCCACTTCAGCCTCACACTGCACTACCACCTACACTGGTCTTGCCTTGCAGTCACTAGGCACAGTCTGGGCTCTCCTAACCAGGGGACTTCCTAAGTCCCTTAGGAAGTAATGACTCCCAGGAGTAGAGGGCAATCGTCACTGACCCTGAAACCCTCAGGCCCAACTGTCCAGCTTTCACAGTAGCTCAAGCCGACTTGGCATCTGGTCTCCCACCTCTGCTAAACATGTCCCAGAAAAACAACCAGTATCCAGGCCTTCTGCCAAAACCTTGAGGGTGAGGAGGTCTGGGGGCATCACTATAGTTTCCACATGGTCTTAGTTCCCCCTCTTCCTAGCCACCCAGGTCCTTTTCCTACCTGTTCCAAAGGGGAACCATAGCCTGGAGTAAGCCTCACCTTGATGACCCGCAGGGGCTTGCTGGGGTTGTTCTTGTCCAGGTAATTGATGTACCCAGACAACGAGATGCTGAGCAGGTGGTCCTTCTGCCACAGGCAGCCCAGCTGCTGGTCCAGAACACTGGAGCCCATGGGAAATGTGCTGACAACAGAGTTCACGCCGACATCCCAAATCTTAGAGGTTTTGTCTCCAGAGGCAGAAAGCAAATGGGTGCTATCAGGGCTCCAACTAATCTACTCAAACAAAAATAAGGAGTCAAATGTCAGAGAATTTCTGAGTGGAAAGAGACCCCAGATACCTGCTTGTCCACAACCCCCATTTCTGAGTGGGAAAAGCCAAGCCGGGGAGGTGATGGGACTGCTCAGTCCCAGGCTCCACTCTAGCCACTGGCAGCCGCTGCCACCTCCCTGTAACCACACAGCTCCACTTTATCACCTTTACCCCTCTTTTCAAAGTTTTAACTTCAAAATGAACAGCAGTGGCGGGGAACACAGACTCGGCCAAATTACATTCACCGTGCCAGGAATCAGATCATACTCACAGCATAAATTCCTCCCTCGTGGGCCTTGCCTTCTCCAAGCGCACACACTTTTTCTCCTGTCTTCCCGTCATAAATGTATATCTTCCAAGAAACAAAAACGTGTGGATCAAGCAACCAATGTGTGAATGCCCTTGGGAAATTAGCACCTATTTCTCCAGGGGCTGTGACTTTACAGACTGAGCCTCCCATGCTCTTTACAAGGACACCCTGTGTCTATGCCTTAGGAGGTGGGAGAGTGGAGGGCGCTTGGAGGCCTGCCTGTCCACTGCCCGCCCCTGACTTACCTGGCCATCAGCACTGGCTGTGGCAAATCTGTTCCCATCAGGAGAGAATCGCACACAGTTGACAAAGCGGCTGTGGTCCTGTGGGAAGAGGACAGTTATCAGCAGACCAACTTCAGGAGCATTCTCTATGACATGCACAGCTGCCTCCCACGCTAGCTAGGCATGGGAATCTCAAGTCCCAAGAAAATGCCAGTGCTCAGAAAAAATCCAGGCAGTGGCCCCCAGTGCTCAATTCAGCCTCCTCGGCTCTGCCGCCCCATGGCTCTGCCTGGAAGGCTGTCCTTCAGCTAGGCCTCCTCTCCCAGTCATGCACACCCTGACCTGTTCTCTTCTGGGGTCTCAAGAGAGTTCCTGCCCCAACCCTCAGGTTTCACTGCAGCCAGGACCATGAGGCCCTGTCCTGAGGCTCCAGAGCCCAGAAGACAATAGGTGTTAGGGGGCATATGTAGAGGATGAAACATGGTTAGGCTTTCTTTAGGAACAAGAGTCTGACTGAGGAGAAGTGCTCTGAGTGCGGCAAGGTGGGGGATTCTCACAAGGTGCTGCAGCTTAGGCAGGCCCAGGGCTCCACCCCATTGCTAAGATGTGACAGCAACCTCGGCCCTGGTTATGGTGCTCGAAATTCCCTCCTTGAGTTTAAACTCTGCAGCATGTTTTAAATTTTAGTTTCTTTTGATTTTTCATGCTATTTCCGAGACAAACCTTTCCTGCTTAAGTGTTTTCTAGCATTTGGAGGTAAGATGAGTTGGAGGACAGGTGTAGTGGACCTGCCTGTAATCCCAGCAACCTGAAAGGGTGAGGTGGGAGGCAGGAGAATCCTAAATTTAAGGCCAGTCTCAAAAAAAGACTGGTTATATAGCTCAGTGGTAAAGTACCTCTGGGTTCAACAACTGGTACAACGAAAAAAAAGCAATTGAGTTGGAGAAAAGCAGTTTACCAATAGGCACAACCCACCAAACTGCATTTACCTCAAAACTAACTTTCCAAATTCCATCTCAGACCAGCAGAAGAACTGCTTCTACCTCTGCCACCCGGGCAACCTGTTTACTTTACTACCAACAGGGGCAATGGTTAGCCTCGGGCAAGCTATTTGCAGAACACCAGGCCCAGAAAGGCTGGGTAACTTGAGGAGTGCCTGCCGTGGGAATCTGGCCTCCAGTTTCTTGTTGGGAGTTTTGTTCCAACTGCACTGGCCTTGGGCCATGGCAGGTGCTGGGCAGGCCCGGGCACGCTCTGGCTGGGAGCCATCCCAGAGGTCAGATCCTTAACTCCTGAGACCAAGTACAACCACCCTGCCATCCATTTCCCAGCTGTGTGAGCCCACTGCACACTGAGTGCAATGTCCCTCTGTCCACAGTCAGCAACAGCACTCACACCACAATTCCCTCAGGAGTGCAGGGGCCAGCTGAGATGCAAAATCTGTGGAAGGAGGGCTTCTGAGATAGAACCTGCCAGACTGTGCCAGTGCACAAAAATCCTTTGGCCTCCCACTCCTAATCAATTCTCTAATCTTTGGACAACCCATCCTCGATCTTTTTTTTTTTTTTTTTTTTTTTTTGGCACTGGGGATTGAACCCAGAGGTGCTTAATTACTGAGCCATATCCCCAGCCCTTTTTTATATTTTATTTTGAGACAGGGTCTCTCACTGAGTTTGATCCTCCTGCCTCAGCCTCCCAAGCCACTAGGATTACAGGCATGTGTCACCATGCCCAGCCCATCCTTGATCTTTTAATGATCCATCCTTTTCACCCAGATATTCTAAACTCCAAGGAGAGGCCTCTGTAAGGTCTCTGCTCTCTTTAGTCCCATGGTAAATGGCATTTGTCATGTCACCAATTAACCTGTAAACTGTGTTAAATAACTTGCAGAATAGTGGTATTTGGCTAAAAAGAAAATGATGATACTCACCCCAGGAAAAAAAACATTTTTTATGTTTTGGGAAGAAAGCAAAGGCAGAGAGCACTCAGTGAGGAAGACCCTGACTGGCAAGTGGGGTGTTCTGCCCGCTGACTCACTCACAGTACCCTCCTCTTCCCTTATAAAAGCTCTTTATACCCTAAAGCCCCTGAAGATAGAGATTTCAGATGAAAGGCCTCCTCCATCTTCTGATTCCTTCCACCAACTTCTGTCTCTTAAGTTAATATGTGATCCAGTAATAGGATGGGTCAGCATGCATATCCCTGCCTTGCAGATGAAGTCCAACCAGAGTAAGATGTAACCACAGACAGACCAGCTGGCTCTGCCCAGCTCTGCCTCCTCAGGGAGCTTGGCCTGGCCTCTGTGCTAGCTTGTTGCACTCCCCCAGTGTTTCCTGGATAGTGAAGGGGACAGAAGAGATGTGCTGTCAGCTCACCCCAGGTTTCTCTGCCTGCAGAGGCAGCAGGGTCTTCCAGAACTGGGAGGCCAAAAGCACTCATCCCAATGGAACAGAGCCGGGACTGAATGTGGTTCAGAGGGGGGCAGACTCCATCGGTAGGAAATGTACCATGAATTAAGAGAAGAATATTTAGCCAATTCCAAACCGTAATGAACTCCCATTTTCACAGGTTCCCTGAGACCACACACAGATACTCCTGGGAATCACCCCCAGATGCCCAGGCCCTAGAACCCCACAGCTGTCTGTGGTTCAGCCCAAGTGTTCACTCTGAAGGCTCTAGTAGGGCCAGTGTTGTGTGTCTTGGGGATCACACAGTTTTAAGAGAGGGGCCCAATGAAGGCTATACAAAGTAGATGCCCTTTGAGTGCCAGGGCCACATGCACCCAGGGCCCTCTGCTTTAGAGCCCCAGTTCCGTCAGGGATTCCTGCAACTCAGCCAAGCACCAAGAGTCCAAATGGCAGAAGACTGATGTCTGCTCCTGAAATAGCCCCTTCACAGGCAGGGAGCAGAGACTAGCCCATTAACCAAGGAAAGTGAGGGCTAAAAATAGCGCTTCCCACAGGGAGGAGGACAGTGCAGACAGGGAGTGTTTGGGGGACTGTCATGGCCAGTCTGAAGGCTGGGTGATTTCACGGGCTGCCTGACCTGGCCGCCTCCTGAGCTGGACTCCTAGCCTGTGCCAGTCAACCAGAGGGCTCACAGAGCAATCTCACAGGTCAAGCCTTAGATACAGAGGCCACTGTACCTGCCCACTCCTTCATAGCCAAGACTCATGGATCCCTGGTGCAGGCTGTGTCAGTAAGTCCCCCAAGAACCCTCCCTTCCCTCCTACCTCCCTCACTGTACCTCCACCCCCATCATCTCCCTCTCATCACAGGAAACCAAAGTTTGAAGCAATTAGATAACTTATTAATAACCACCCAAGTCCACACCATGGGCAGGGACAGGGTGACCCTGGGCTCTAGGTGGCCTGGCTCCAATGTGTACATGCTAACTACCTGGTCAGCTCAGGTGTCCTTTCTGGGAACTCTCAATTCCCATCAGCTTAGGCTGTCACTGTATATAAGAATGCCCACCCCTACCTCTACATGACCTGTGTCCCCCAGATCCTCCCAAACCAGCCCAGCGCATGCCTCCACAGTCCCAGGGCTGTCAGCACTCCAACAACAGGTTTCCCCTTGAACATAAACGAAGGTTTCCTTCCTTCTGCCCAATTTCCCCTCTATACATGGCTTCTTCCTCAGTCGCCAGCTGTCTTCCCTGTAAAGTATCCAGAGGGCAGGACTGTGCCCTTCAACTGCCTCAGCGTGGGCTAAGAAGCCCAAAGGAGTACCCTGCCCCTTGCTGCCTACAGTTCCCCCTCACATGGGACAGGAAGCCCTGTTACAACTTTTCTCTGGGGATCAAGGACCCATTGAATGGACAACAGATTCACTCTGTCCCGGGGCCACTCCCTGCTGTCAGCAGGATCCTGGAGCTATGGGGGCCCAGAGGCTTGCTCAGAGCAGGCAGCCAGAAGCACTTAAGAATGGAAATGTCTGCTTTCTGTCCTGCCATGAGGAAGGACAGAGAAAAAAAAACAAAAACAATAACCAAGAGGCTGACATGTTTAGAGCTCAGGCTGCCTGGTCTAGAAGATGGCACCTGCATCAGGAGCCACAACAGGTTCTGGCCTAGTTCATTCTCCTCCTCTCCTGGAGGTGGGAAAGTCCAGTTCAGAGTCTGCTGTGAGGGGTGAGTGCCATCCCGGGATGAGGGACAGAGTGCCACCAGCCTGGAAGACCAGGCCCCTCAGTGCACATCTGCTCCCCTTGGAATTGGCAGGGAGCTCCCAGTTCCAGGTCACATGGTCACTGCTACTCCAAGCAATCTACAGGATCAGAGACTTTACCATTCACCATCAACCCTGGGAACCAGGATGCGAAAGCAGCTGTGGAAGCTGTGGTCACCCCAGGGCAGTGAAATGCTCACCTTTCAGGAGGAAGCAGAGGGCAAGTGAGAGCCTGGTGGGTCTTGATCGCAAGTGCAAACATACACTTGTCCCTCTATAGAGGGACACACTTAGCATGAAAAAAATCCCCATGGGGGAGCAAGGGAGACCACCCCCTTCTCCTTAGGCCACAGCCAGGTCCTCCATCCACAGAGTGTGAGTGCTGGAGAGGGAGCCCACTGGGCCCAAACCTCACCCCCTTCTCAGACCCAGTCTCTCCTGTGATCCTGGAGTGGGGGAACCACATGTTGCATCTAGAATGTGAGCAGGAAAGAACAAGGTGGTGTGGACCTGCTACAGGAGAAAAAAGGACAAGGCATATGGGGTCCACTCCAGGAAAAGGGTTTCACCACCACCCCCATCTTCAAATGCAGACAAAGCTGGGCCGTGATCCCAGGTCTGGAGGATGCAGGGGCATCTAAGGTGAGCCAGGACTCTAATTCAGAGGAGCCAGCAGTCTACACTCACCTTGGGCAAAGAGCTCTTGAACAGAAGGCAGTATGACCCCCAAACTTGGGCCTACCAGAAGGAGTGGCCCAACATGACCTCTATAGAGAAGGTTTCTCCTGCTCTCCTCTGAGCTATGCTTTCACTGCCACTGCAGCACAGCATCCCAGGGGTTTGCCACAGCATACTAGGGGCTGAAATTCCAGACAACTCACTCTTCTCAAGGCAAAAGCTTGAACTGACCCTTGTACCCTTCCCCAGCCACATGCAATGGATCCCTTCCTGATCAGGTGCCTGGGAAACTTCCTATGGCGTTGTCAGCAATCTCTGCACTCCAGGCCCCCAGCTGCCCAGGTCTCTCGCCTTCACCAGCTGCGGGGCAGGGAGGGCTGTGTGGGAATGGATGGACGGCACATGACAGCACTGCCTGTGGGCTGCTCACTCTCAGCAGAAGGTTCCAGTAGGCAGTGGCCACTCAGTCTGCACAGCTGGGGATGAAGCGGGGCAGTCCTGATCCCTGGCAGTCATGAGGTTAGGAACTAAAGAGCTGGGGACAAAAGACTGCTCCTGTTTGGACTTCACTGTAAGAGGAGCTTAATGTCCTCTCTGGCGGCAGGGTGGGGACTCCACACATTTTAATTTTTAAAAACCTTTTACGAAAGAAAGGTGCAGTTTTACAAAAGAAAGGCTCAATTAATTCTTTAGAACTTCTATGTCACAAGCTTTGGAGAACACTGGAAAACCCACACATAAGCAGCAGCCCAGTAGGTGCTCGACCCATCAAGCCTCCCACAAACACCCTTACTGCCTCACATACGTCAATGCAATCCCTTCCTTAACCCATCTGTCTGCACACTTGCCCTTTAGTTTGGGGGGATAAATGGGCTTTCTGACCTCAACCTCACTCCCCATTAAGAGGAATGGGGCAGGAATGAGTACAGAGGACAAGCAGCCCACCACCAAGCCCCCACAACTGCAGCTTTACCCCTGCGCCTGTGCATACGTGGACCTGGGCCACATACACGCCAACAATTACATCTGGATTTCAAAAACATCAACACCTACCAGGCATTCTGGGCAGGTGTGGGGTCCCAGAGCATATTCCCTGTCCCTTCCACCTGAGCCCAGAAGAATACCATTAGACAAAGTCTAAACCACCACTGGTGAACATGTGGACATTCACAGGTCTCGAGTCTTCCCACAGTGTGGGCTGAAGGGGAGGGTCACCATCACCTGGGGAGCCCAGAGACACCTAGTCTAAAGGTCACAGCCAGCCTCTCAGTGTCTCCAATCCTTGGTGCACAGCCCTATCCCACTGCTCCGAGGTCCTCAGACAGGACCTGTGGGCTTGGGCTCCAGGAAGGACTTTCTAAGCAGTAGTACCCATCCTGGGGACAGTGCCAGTTGACAAACTCTTCCTGCATACCCGGACTGGTGCTGTGGATAAATACTGTGTGCTGAGGTTAGAAAGGAAGACAAAAGACTCTAGCCCAGCCCCCAAACACACACAAAGGTCACAGGGTGCAGGGCACAGGCTCAGCCACTCCGGGACCCTGGTTCCATTATGCATCCTTTGGTTGCTCTGGCAAAGGAAAGGAGCCCTTGCAGGGTAGGACAAGAAGCCCCACCCACAAACAGCCAGCCCAGATCAAAGCCAAACAGAACTTAGTGGGGGACCTGGAAAGTGGGGCAGACTCTGGCTGGCACAGAACCTCTTACTCTCTTCCTTCCACCCTTGGATTTGGGTCTGGGTGTTTGGCTGGCTCAGCATCACTCACCCTATAATTCACAGGACCACTACCCCAGTTAAGAAACACTGACCTTGAGCTGCAGCCTTCAACAAAGTTCCCAAAATAGCTACGTCTCTACTACCTACCAATTAGACAGTAGCCACAGGAGACAGGATCTGAGAACTAGAGGGTGTTCAGAAGGAACCCAGGAGCCACATACTCAGCTAGACACAGAGGCCTCACTTGGTTTCCCAAACAGACTGCCAGCCACCCGAACCTGTTCAGGCTGAGGCTCCAGGATCAAAACGAGGCTGGTTTCACTACAAATGAAAAACCCTTGGACAGCCCATCTGTACCCGAAACCAGGATGTCTCAGGAAATTCTACCCACTGCAAGTCTTGCCCTTGCCCTTTCCTGTGACACTACTGCTAGTTATCATTCATTACGTCAGGTCATTAAATGAACAGTTCTTAGGGAACCACATTAAGGACATTATCTTGTTACATTGCTCCTGAGGCATGGACACTGGAACCACTGAGGTTCCTCAAAGACAATGAGTCCCAAGACCCCTCAGCCTGATCCCCTCGAGGGACAAATAGTCTGACAACATGCTCATTCTTGTAGTTAAAGATGGCTGCATCCTTGACTATCACCAGCACTAGCACCGGCTACTTTTTCCATGGTGTATGCACAAGACTTGCCAGGAAAGGTATAGGACTGCAGGGTCACACCAAGCCCAGCTGCTGTACCCTCCCCTACTGGGTGTTCGACTCCTATTCTTGGCCTCTAGGCAGCTATTCATAGTTCAAATTCATGACTACTGTCCTCATATGTCTATGGCCATGTTCCTGTCTCACAATGGAAAGCATGAGGCTAAGCAAGGCCTGCTGGGACATGTGCAGAGTGGGGACCCTGAGATCCACCATATATACCCAAGACTGCCACGTTCTACCAGCGTGCTTGGGGCATGTTCCTTTCAGAGACTTCTGTTTCTTCTAATCATCTGCCACTCTGTAGGCATGTCTCTGATCTCATCGCCCCTACAGGGGAGGCACCAGAAAGACCAATCTAGATGTCCTGGAATTCATTTCCTCTGTGCCTCAGCAACTCTGAGGTTGACACAGACAAACAGCAGGCTCCAAGTGCCCTGGGCCCCCTTTTCTGACAGAGTTTTCCAGCTCAGGACACTCATCTGGTTACAGGCTCAGGACACCCCAGCCCTCACCTCAGATACATGTACATCATCCAGAAATGAGGCCCCTCCCTACTGGAACCTCAGTGCCAGCCTAGGACAGGGGGAAAGTTGGGCTCTCTACCTCTGCATAATGCTTCCCGTGCTGAACTCCACTTTCTGCCTGCACATCACGGCGGCAACATGCATACTCTGACCTCCCAAATCAGCATCTAAACAGGTTTGAACTCCACCACGCTTCCATACAACCCATAAAGCTCACCCCAAAGCCCCAAGGAATCCACTTACACCAATTGTAAACTTGAACTTGAACGGGGGTCCCTCAAAGAATGCAGCACAGTTGTCATCACTCCCTGTCACCAGCCTGTATGGCCTGCTCTGCTTGATGTCCACGCTGTTGATAACTTTGTTGTGTCCTGTGATCTCACCCACGGAAGAGCCACTGTCCCACAGGAAGACTGCGCCAAACCTTTATTCAACAAGAGGAGTCAAGGAGAAAAAAAATCAATCCTGGAAGGAGGAGGAGAAATGCAACAGCTAAGCTGTCTGTGCACTAAGGCTGGGGGTGGACGTTGGTACTCTAGCTTGGGCTGCTAACAGGATATGTTTGACAGGCTGTGACTCTGGCTACACAGATATCTATCAAAAGAATCCAAGAATAAGCAGGAACAACTCTAATGCCTTTGGGAAGGGACTAGGTATCCATGGCCCAGTGCCAGTGCCTCCTATATGGAAGGCACCCACCCCAGGAAGCTGCCACTGGGGATACCAATTACCACAGATGCCCTGCTGGAAAGAAGATGCCTTGTTCTCAGCTGGCATTCAATGAAAATGTTCTGTGTTAGTTACTATTTGTTACTAAATAAGAAATGGAGCTGTTAAAACCAACAGGGAGGACTTGAAAAGCCCCAGAATTAATACCTGCAAGAACAAGTATTACAAAGAGCCTCTGAGAAAGATAAATAAAGTCACAAGGTTGTCAAATTCAAGTGCTTGAGGGCAGCTGCTGTGGGAACCCTTACCACTGGAACCTGTGCTCAGCACTGCCCCTGCTGGTCACCAGCCCCATGACCAGGATGGTATCCCCTCTTCACCACTCAGGGAACCCCAGTGATGTGCCCAGTAGAGACACAAGGGTGTGTCTTCAAGGGTCATGTGTGAGCTCTTGGGAAGATGCTGATAATAGGTGCATCTCTTTCACCTATCCCACTCTTGCTGCCTGGAATGTGGGCTTGACAGCTGGAGTTCCAGAAGGCAAAGGGCTAAGGATGTCAGAGAGGGAAGAGAAAAGGGGCCTACGCCTTGACGAGAGCCCCAATGTGATGCAAGTCTCCCTGGCAGACCAGCCATGCATCTGGGCAAAAGGTCAGAGGGCTGATGCTGTCAGGAATCAGCCACACGGGCGGAGCAGGCACAGCCCTCACTGCAGCCCCTCCCCTTGGGACAAGCTGTGGTAGGAGCCACGGGAATGGAGGGATTGAGGTGAGCAACTCACTTCTCCCTTCCTTCCCCGACCACGGCGATCCTCTTACTGTCTTCAGTCCAAGCAATGTCCTTGATCTTCCCGGCAAAAGGCTGGTACTCATACTTGAGGAGGTGTTCCTTCTGTGTGGTATCCCAGATCCTCAATTTCCCAGAGACATCTAGGGACACAGATGAGCAGGGTGAGCCAACCCTCCTTCAGCAGCAGCTCTGGTTTCTCCAGCCTAGTTCTAGAAGCTGTGTGTGCCTGGCCTAGGCACCTAGCCAGTCCTAAGTCAAGCCATCACTTGCAAAGGGCTGTCACGTGGGGTCTCTGCATTTCGCTTGGACACCATACCCTGTTTAGGTATCAGAAAAGCCCAGGGACACACAGTAGCAAAACCTGAATATGCTTTGAAACAGTTCTGCTTTACGAATGAGGGCATCCAAATGGTGCTCAGGCCTCAGACCACCAAGTGCACTCAGAACAGGACTCCACTCTGGAACAGCACCACTGCACCTCTCCAGTGTGCTCTGCCAGGGAGACGGCAGCCCCACTTATCACACACGCACATGAACCATCCCATTCCTAGGATCTGGGGCAGAGAAAGATGCTCTCACGAGATGGCCACGGCAGAAGCTATGAATGAATGGGAGCTGTGTTCAGAATGTGGAGCCAGTTCTGCCGTCAGCGCAGCACCAGCAGTGGACACATGAAAGGAGTACACCCCCACAACCACGATCCTACCAGTAAGCAAAAGTCCCAACACACGCTTTCCAAATCAGCAAGCAGTGTTGGCTGCAGGAAGAAATAATAGCACTTCACACTAAATTTTTCTCGTGCTACTGGGTATTGAACTCAAGGGTGATCTACCACTGAGCTTCATTCCCAGCTTTTATTTTTATTTTAAGAGAGGGTCTTAAGCTGCCAAGGCTGACCTTGCACTTGCAATGGATCTTTCTGCCTAAGGCTCCCAAGTAGCTGGGATTATAGACATGCTCCACTATGTCTGGCTATTCTGTTAAGGCCTTAGAACCTATGCCTCTTCCTTCAAGCAGGTAGGCACAGCTTCTCCGGGGGACTCGCCTGGACAAACTCAGCAGCAGGTTCCAGTAAAAAGCACTTCCGTTTCTTTCTCCCACACTAAGGGAGGGCAGAGCAGAGGCAGTGTAGGGCAACTATCATGCGCCTGGTCTTGGGAGCCAGTGCTGGATCCAAATTCAACCTCGGCTAAGTGTGAGCTCTGTGGGCCTCAAACAAGTCATGAGGGCTCTTTGTGGTCCTACCTACTACAGGAAAAAGAATACTGTCATCACTTAGGGATGCTGAAACTAACATGTGAAGTCCTAGTCCCCAGTGAGTACATGCTATGAGTTTACTCTAGCTTTGCAGAAAGACCCTTCCCCATGTGCAAACAGAGCCAGCGCCTAGACCCAGCAGGGCAGTGAGATCTGCAGATGCATGGGGGAACACATGAGAGGGGGCCTCTGTCACCTCTAGATGAGGTTCAGGAAGAAAGGCTGGCATGCTGCCAAGGGGTGTTCCAGAGACAACTGACCTGCTTAGTTAAGTCCCCCTGCTAATAAACAGGCTGGGGGTGGTCAGGGATGTAGGGGTGGAGCCAGCAGAACTGGCAGCACTGGAGAGGACAAGCCTGCACAACCTTACACATACATACCTTCACCCACGCTTACCACAGCCACATGTTCTGCTGTGCTTGGGCACATTCAGGGGCTATGCTGCCCCACAGGGAAGACAATGCTCAACAGGACAGGGCAGAGGGTGTCCCAGCGCGTCACAGGACAGGGCCCAGCTTTTCCACCTCCCAGGCTCACAGACCTGCTGCTGATCCTCCTGCTAGCTGCAGCTCCATTCCCTGACTGGCATCCTCCCCCATCAGACGATTGGCCTCACACATTAACTAGGCCTTGCCTGTTTATTTCGTTCTTTCCAGAAGCAGCTGGGGCAGTGACAGGGAGCCTGGGGATCAGGCACCGAGGCCTGAATCTGATGGGCCTAGGCCCACAGCAGTGGCCAAACCCTGACCCACACAGGCCAAGTATCTGCCCTGCAGAGGGCCCTGGAGGGAAAGCACAGTGAAAGAGGCATACCTGCAATGGTCTATCGGCTGAGATAAGACCAGGCAGAGAAATTACAGAGTGTAGGGAATAGTGGTGTCAGGGAAGAGCTCCTTCCCCAGCAGGCTATGGTCCATACCTGGACAAGGAGCTAGCTGAGGGAAATAGCTGTCATTTTCCCCTGGCACTGGGGTTAGAACCCAGGCATATTCTATGTCAAAGCTAGATCTCCATCCCCTTTACCAAAAAAAAAAAAAAAAAAAAAATTTGAGATGGTCTCACTAAGTTTGCCTGGGCAGTCCTGAAAACCCGCACTCCTCTTGCCTTGTCTCCCGAGTAACTGGGATTATAGGTATGTGTCACCATTTCCAGCAAGGAACAGATGTGTTTGGTGTGTCTGCATTATCCCTACACTCCACAAGTGCCACTGTACACTCAGCAAATACCATGGGGTGGAGCAGAGGGAGCACACAGCAGTGGGCAGGGCCAGCTTTCCAGTCCCTAAGGAGATCTCAGCAACTCTTCATCTCTGGGCAGTCAGCTCTTCCTCTAGAAAGCCTTCCCTGGGCATAGGGCGAAACCAGGTATCTTGCCTTGAGGCCTCTGCTGCACTCCAAGGGCTATCTGGGCATCACTGCCCAGATGCCAAGGGGCCTGCATGAAATGGCAGACCAACATCAAAGCTACCCCTGAGGAAGTTGCTGAAAAGAGAATGGAGGCTGCCCCGGAAATGATCCTGCACTCCAAGGATTACAACATGGGAGTGTGAACTCCCAGAGCTCAAGTCTTATTCAGTGATGGTAGAAGTCTTCCAGAAGGTTCTATTCTCCAGCAGCTGTTGACTAACAGCATCTTCTGGCCCCAGAGGGCTGGGGCTTTCCGGGAGTAAGCCGTGGCTTCCCAAGGTACTGGGACTCTAATGCCACACCAGGCACCAGTCTCCACTCACAAGCCAGAGTCTTTCCAAGCCTCCACACTCCAAACCCTCATCCACACTATTTTTAGCCCAGGGCCCTCATCTCTGCAGCAAATGTTCCACTGTAACCCTTAACAGTCACTTTGCTCTACTAAAAGAAATGGATTAGAAATACAAAAATATAATCTCTACCCCCAAACCTTGACTCCTCCATCATGTCTGGATACTTAAAAAAAAAAAAAAAAAAAAATTACAACCCACTTTTAAGAGGAGAACCTCAAGCTGGGGGTCACTCATTTATGTAGGCCATCTTTTATGCCAGGCTGCTGCACAGCTCTGCATTAGATCTGAAGGCCACAGACTTCTGTCCTGTTGAATGGCCCCTGGGGATGGAGAGGCCAGGCCTGAGATGACAGGCTCTCTGCTGGGGCTGACAGCGTGGGAGCTGTGCCAAGCTGGGCGGACACCTTCACCAGCCACTTTTCTCTCCTGAGAAAACTTCTCAGAGCACCTGATATTGGACACAATTTAAAAAGGCACCAGGGCCAAATTTTGGGGCTTAAATGAAGACATTTTGCTGGCAAGCAAGGCCACAACCAGGTGGGGGTGGGTATTGGGCTAAAATAAACTATAGGATTAGAGTAAATTTTAAGATGCAGTCAGAGTAGACCTAAACATAAAAACTATTAAGTGCCTACTCTATCCCAGACTTCTGGCCCAGCCCTTCTTTGTGACCACAGCAGGCTGTCAGCAACCATTAGCACACAGATCATCCTGCTTCAGAACAGGATGAACAGAAACCCCTTCTCTAAAGCATGCCCTTGCTTCAGTGATGAATAAAATGGTCACCCTGGTGTCAGGTACCCACTCATGTAAGACCTGGGCTAGGTACCAAGGCACATGTTGCTTCTTTGGATCCTCCCGCCCTTTAAGGAGGCACTCAGTGCCCCAGCTTAAAGAACAGAAAACCAAGGACCAGGAAGCCAAGCTGAATAACTGCCTGCAGAAGTAATAAGGGGAGGCCTCAACCCTGCAGGCCACCATGACCCACATAAAGAGCTGCTGGAAGTGGTCACATGTCACCATGCACAGTGTTGAGGGTGGTGCAGACAAAATGGCTATAGCACCTGAAAATCCTGGTCCTCACTCTCCTGGTTGGGTAATTCAGAATTCTCTCCCAACTGTCACTTTCCAGCAATGCTGATGAAGCCCACATCAGCTCATTCACATAGCCCTCCCTGGGGCTGAACACAGGCCACAGGTATTTGTTGAGTGTATGAATGAATGAGCAAATTAATGAGATACAGAATGTGCCCTCTACCTTCTGTGCCTCCCTTTCTCATCTGTAAAGGGCCAAACTCTACCTCAAAGAGTTTGACCAGGTAAATGAGTAAAACTCCTAAAAAATGCAAAGATCCTCATACCCCCTTCCTTTGGCCCAGCCCCCTACTGAGCCATACAGAAAGCCAGGCTGGAAAGGGCAAAGGCCAGAACTTGCTCTGAGGCCAGCTGGGAAAGGAGCAATGGATAAGGATGACACAAAACACAGCTACAAAACACAAACCACACACTCACACCCCCTAGCACCAACATATCATGATGTAACGACCAACAGAGGCCTGGGGACAATCACACAGAAATGTTTCTGCTGATCTCAAAATTGGAACCTACTGAAACATTGCAAAATACAACATGTACTTTCTTGAACAAAGATTAGGTCTGAAATGGAGCATTTTGGAGGCACAGATGTTCTTGTTGGTTCCAACTAAAACTAATCACCTTGGTTCTCTCACTTCTTAACTAAAATCTGCACCCCCCCTTCAAGCTGGGAGCAGGACTGGTTCTGAGCCCCACCACAAGCATCCAGGAACCATGCTCATTCAGGTACCTCCAGAGGCGATGTAGAAGCCACTGGGTGCGTACTTAGCCACCACAACCTGGTGGGCGTGCTCTGTGTAGATGTCCGCAACAGCTGGGTTCTGTGGGGAAAAGAGCACAGAGTCAGTGGAAGGAACAGAGGCCAACAGCTCCCTGCCCTCCAAATTCACCTATGAACACCTGTAAGAGTAACAGAGGGGAAATCCTGGAGTACTCCCATCTGCCCGCCCACCTTTCTTGAGTTTAGGTGAATCTTTTTTCGTCTGCTTTTGTGTAATTTCCACAACACATAAATATACTTGTGGAGCGTGCATTTGTATCGAGTTTGATTAAAAAAGAATCCTGAAACTAGCTTCTTCCTGTTTGTGGGGAGCTGTGAGCAGATGCAGCATTTGGCTATGCTCATTCAGGTACCTCTAGAGGCGATGTAGAAGCCACTGGGTGCGTACTCTTCCTGAAGTCGCCACTGCCAGGGAGTACCCATCCTACCCAGGTCACCCCTGTGTCTGGTGTCATCTGGGGCAGCTCCTGGCTCTGAGCTTGGAGCCGTCTGTCAGAACCCTTGGCTTGGGAAGACATGCTGATTCCCCATGTTCCCGTGCTTCTTTGAGGCACTACCAAAGGCTGGCTGGACTTTGTGGCAAGGATGGGGCCAGTACTAGGGACTAGGAGCATCTTCAATATTCAGCAACAAGCTGTGAACAAGTGGTTGCCTGTCCTGCATCTCTCTACACCCACAATGGCTGCTCTCAGGTTCCAGTGGCGCTTGCTTCAGGGAGGGAGCAGAGAGGTAGCTTTCTAGAGTCTCTGGCTCCTGATGTCAGCTCTCTGTATACCAGAATTCCTTGGAAAAGAGGCAGCTTCCTACCCCAGAAGACACAGCAAGTCCACAGGGGAGGAAACAGGATGCCACAGTCCCCTCCCTTCTCCCTTTTACCCAACAACTTCCCCCAAAGACTGAGATGGCCCTAACCTACAGCCCAACCAACACTTGGCACCTTCTGCCATGCTCATATGACTTCTGCCTCTCTGAGCACTGTTCCCTTGCCAGCCACATGGCACTTTGCATCCACTATCCCAATTTAAGCAGCATCTTCTCAAGGAAGCTCCCAAGGTGGCCCCTCCTGGTTCTTCCATGCCTCCAAGGCATTAGCACATTCCTGAGACATTTATCTCTTTACCTCATGGCTTTTAGCAAGTAACATGTGCTCAGTTAGGGAGCAGCAGTTGGCTATGTCCGACTTTTGGGGAGGAAAAAAGTTCACGTTAAGACTTAACAGCATTATTTGGTATATGTGATTCATAACTTAATCCACTTTGAAATAAACATTTGCGAGTGAAATATAGATATCGAGTATCCAAAGAAGTCATTATGAATGGCAAATAAGCATACTAACAGGGGCTCAATGTCATTAGTCTTGGGAAATCAAAACCAAAACTACACCAGTACACACCCGCTAATATCAGTAAAATTTAAAAGACCAACATCACTGCATGCTGGCAAGGATGAAGGGGTGAGGGGATGTTCAGACAATGCTGTGGAAACACAAAATCTTAGTTGCAAATGATTCAGCTGCATAGGTTGTTCACACACACCCTACACCCAAACAATAGCCCCGCTCTCGGGGTATCTCCACAAGGAATGAAAGCCATATCTGCAGAAAGACTAAGACAGAAAGCAGACAATCAAGGCAGAATGATTGCTGGGAGCCAAGAGGGTTTTTCTTCCCAACTGTGGCCAGTCATGAGACTAGATAAGACTCCTCAGGACTCAAGCTGTTCACTTTGTCTATATCACATCCTCATGGAGGCCAAGATGCCCAGTGTCCACCTTCCATCTGCCTAACCCAACCCCACCTGCTCAGACTGGTCCTCTGACATCAAGTTCCCTCACAGAGCATGTGGCTGACTCCAAGACACTAGCTCAGTGTCCATTCCAGCTGACCGAGGGCCCTGCACTCACAGAGGGAACTCACCAGACTCTACAGATGACCAAGCCAATCCCGAGGGCAGTGACCTCCTCCCTAGGCTGCACTACCCTCCAAGGGTGGGGTCCCCTCAGAAAGGAAGGGCATCCAGGAATGGAAGATGACTAGGCAGGGGCCACTGGAGGAAGTCCTACCCCTGAAATTCCATCCCCTAAATGGCCAAGGCGTTTGCAGACATGGTGTGTGGAGCCCCACAGGGCACAGAATCCCGCGCGGCCAGATGAATCACTCACTCACTCTCGTTTGTATTCCACATACAACTGGGTCAGCTATGGGGTGAGAGACTCCAAATTACAGATAATGACTTACATCTGAGTCATCCAGCCTCCTCCCACCCTCCTCAGCTCACAGTGGGAGGCCGTTACTATGCCAGGAAGGTGGCACACTTCCCCTGCCCCCAGTGTGTCACTCTGGGTGTGAGGCCCAATCCAAACTCGCTGACAGCCCGTGTCCTTGCCCTGCAGATGCCCTCCCCAACCCCCCACCCCACCCCAGGGTCTCCTGTTGTCCTGAAGAACAGAATTCAGGTGAGCAGCCCATGTGTGGAGGAGTCCTGGAGTGAAAAGGTGAGTTGGGAGGAAAGGAGACCCACTGTGGGTATGTCTCACCGGGGCTGGGATACGACCCACCTCCCAGGTCCCTCTCCAGCGCCCCTATAGGCTGAATGGGCTCAAGCAATTCCAAGACTCAGGATTACAGGCAGAAAGCAGGGAGCCCAGGCATAAGAGGCCCAGTGGACCTCGACCAAGGGACTGCCCAGTCTCCATTAGCTCCCAAGCATTTCCTTTTCCCACCCATTCCCAATTCAGTTTTCCTGTCCCTCTTGAGAACACGTGACAATGGCTTTCTAGCCATTCCCTCTACTTCCCTCAGTCTGTCTTTTGACACCGCTAATACTCCTCCCACCCCCCTCACATGGATGTCCTGTCTGTACTGCAGTCCTCTCTTCCCTGGGAATCCTGTCAAACAGGAGAAGCTGGAAAGACTCCCCCTATACCTTCAGTCTGTCCTGCAAACAAGCACACAGCTGTGCACAACTCAGCCATGCTCTACCCAAGGGAGCACCCAGCCTAGCCACCCCTGCAGCTCCCAAGGTTCTCTTGCCTCGGGTGTTCTTAGTCTCAAGCAGTGAGAAATAGATGGGGGGGGGGGGGGTGGCCAGGTCAGGGGTAGGGGTAACCAACAGGCCAGCTGTGATGGCCCAGGGCCCCACAGCTTGGCTCGCTCAATTCCTAGCTCACAGTGACACTAACAGAACACGGTGCAATGTTGGACAGGCCTCCCAACCAAAATGTTGAAACAGGCAGACAAGCACTACAAATGGGGCCTCTGTGCACTTCAGTTGCTGAGGGCACCAGGGAGCCTACAGTGGAAACCTTGGGCTTCTAGCACTGCCAACCTGGGCAACAAGAACACACACTTCCACGCCTGAGAGCAGATCCTGCTGGGCTGGACCTATGTGCTAAACATATGTGCAGTGCAGGGCCCTGCTGACCAAGGCCAAAAGCTGAATTGCTGCAGAAACACAGCTCCAAAGAAGTGAGATAAACCTTTGCACTTTCAGAAGAGATCTCATACCTAGGGAAGGCTGAACCCAAAGGCTCAGCTCTTGGCCGTACTGTCCCACAGACAGATCCTGAAAGGTGCACCTTGCTCCTTTTCTCAAAGAATTACCCAACACCTGCCCTGTGCCAGCCCTGGAGGCCCAGCCTGTGTGGATGGCCCTGTGATCCCTGAGTGCATCAGTATCCCTCATGGACTACCAAGACACTATCACCTCACTTCTGCCCCCCACTTGTCTACCCAGCCAGGACATTACTGAGTAGTCACCTAGGAAGTCTTAGGGACAGCTAAAGGGTTCAAGTCCTAGCACCTCCCCCCAGTGTCAGTATCCTCACCTGGAAAAAGATGAATGGCAGCCCACACCCAATAGACCCTAAGGTGAAGGCAGAGAGCATACCTGCTATGAGAGCGGACTCGGTTACACCTCATGCTGCCCATACTAACATGCTCCCTGCTTGTTCTTCCAGGTATGAACACTGAAGAGAATGAGGCAAGTACAAGTGCCAGGATACCCTGCATGCAATGCACTGACCTGCCCTAAGAGGCACGGGGTAGTGAATGGCAGTGCTCCTGCAGCTCAGCAGCTGACCAGAGAGGTAGGGCTAGGGACTGAATACAGAGGTGAGATGGCCCTTTTATACCCGATCCTAAATGCAGGTACGTCCTTCAGGAAGAAGTGACAAGTGAGCCAGCAAAGCTGGGAACCTGGAGACATTTCTTGGGCAAAGGGCACATTGCCTGGCACTTAGATGGGACAGAGGAAGAAAGGGCCCTCCCCAGGGTGAAGGACACAGACGGACTCCTCTGTGCAACCTGAGCCAGTGCGGCTTCCACAGAATGGCCCACAGGACTCTCTCCCCACTGCCTGAAGAGGGAGGCTGCAACCTTTTTTTTTAACCTCAAAGATGGTTGTGATATCACTCCCCTCTCCTCCCCCACAGGAAAGAAACACATCAAGGCCACTCTACAGGAGTCCTGGATGAGAGAATCCCAGCGCTATTTCCTCAAAGATGCTGTGTCTCAAGCCTTTTCCCTGAGAACTCTTTCTCAGCCCCTAAGACCCAACAGTAATGTGCTGCTCCTCCAGCAGCTCCTTACTACCCTGCTGCATGGCTGGCTCTTCTCTCATGTTCTCAAAGCTCTGGTGATTCTTGCAAAGTGCTTTAATCTGGTGTCAGAACGTCATTTATCAGGGTTCTCAAAAGGAGCACACTGGCATTTTGGGTCTGATAATTCTGTTAGAGGATGGTTCTCTGTGTTGTAGAATGTTTAACGGTATCTCTGGCTTCTACCCACTAGATACCAGTAGCACAAAAATGTCTTCAAACATTGCCAAACAGCCCACAGGGAGATGAGGGTGGGGGCAAAACCCACCCCTCCTGAGAGCCAGTGATTAAAGTCTCAGCCCCTGGCTTACAGGCATGGTTCACCAGGGCATTGAGTACCAGGAACCAAGGGATGGCTGTGCCTACCCACAAGTCCATCATGCATTCACCTGGGAGCAACTTCCAAACTTGTCTCCCTGCCTCAAGCCTGCCACTGCAGGCTTGATCTTACCACTTGTCTGCCTACCTTTTCTAAGGGCTCCAGTGCTCCCCAGCACAGGGCTGCCTACCCCACCACCACCACTATCTGCTCACAGACCACCCCAGCCTCACCATCTGCTGTTCCCAACTCAAAAGTGAGTTCCCTTATTAGAAGGGGAAGTCCTTCTAATAAAGACACACATGAGCAGAGACTTATGGAGGGAGGAGGGAGCAAGAGCTGTAGTCACCTGAGGGAGACTATCCAGGCAAGGGCAAGCAATAGTTCTGAGAAGGATTCCCAACTCAAAAGCCACTGCTTCCCCTCACTGGTCAGGGGGTCAGGCTGAAGGGTCTCTTGGGGTTCCTGGCTCCAGAGGATGCGTGTGCCCGAAGGGTCAGCACACCATTTCCTTCTGCTGCCTGAAATTCATTTAATTCCCTCCCACTACAGTGTGCTCTGTGCGGCTAAGGCTTCTAACCTCACCTCTCCTTGCAAGTATAAGACCAGACAAGGGACCTAAGTCTTCAAGCTCTGTCCCATTACCCACACGTGCAGGGACATACAATGGGTCCTTCTGCATGGGACAGGTAGCAGATCATGCCAAGTGAAACCTGGTGTGTTCAACAACTTCCAAACTGGTCTATATCTTGCTCAAGGAATTAAGTTCACTGACACAGAACCTGGCTACAAAGCAATGTCAAACTATTACAAACACTTCACTCCTTGAAATTCAATTTTATAGACATAATTTCCTCAAATGTGTATTTTAATTCCAGAATCTAGGAACTGGACACTTAAAAAAAAAAAGTCAGTCCCACACTTGCCAGCATGGCAGAACTGTCAAGAAAGTTCGTTTTCAGGAGCAAGTGGAGTGATCCTGGCATAAATCACCACGAGGTTCTTCGACAGGCCCCAGAGTAAGCCTCTGGTGTCTGCATAGGTCAGACAAGGCAGGGGCAACATGGGCCTCAAGGTAGTAGTGTCTAAGGACCTTGCAGCCAAGAAGGAACCTCCACAGACCTGAGCAGACACCAGCCCACGGGGCACCTTCATGAAGCCCCCTGCATGCACCAATATCCCCTCCTTGGGTTGCTTCTTGCCAAGCAAGCAGCCATGCTGCTCACTTTAACCTTACTCCAGGAGCTCTCTCTTGGACAATTAGTTCCTAGATAGATGGCCACTATCACACCACTACATTACTATAACCCTGGAGAGAATTTCTCCTTTAAGTGAGGCATGGGATGTGTTGAAAAAGATTAAAAAAAAAAAAAAAATCCCTTCATTTAGCAAGTGCCATTATGTTGGGTTCACAAATCAACAAAATAAATGACAGGTAGTTCTCAGTAGAAAGTTGATAAGAGTTCTCTCCAGTGAGTTTAAAAGATGGGTTCCACAAAAATCCAGGTCCAGCCATCTAAACTAACAGAACTTTACCTCTCCTCAGGCAGGAAAAGCTTGGTACTTCAACCAACTGTAACTTTTGAGAAACTGCCTGTGCCAGACACTCTTCCAGGGTGAGGACATACTGTGTCTGAAACGGGGAAAGCCCTGCTTTCCTGAGGCCAATGTCTAGATGGGATCAAAGGCAGGCATCTACAGTTACAGGGGGCAGCGGTCTATCTGCCACTTACTGTTAGTAACAGAGGAGTGTGTAGAAATGCTAATTAGGGGAAACCCTTCTAATAAAGACACACATGAGCAGAGACTTAGGGAGTGAGGAGGGAGCAAGACCACAGTCACCTGAGGGAGAATATCCAGGCAAGGGCAAGCAATAGTTCTAAAAAGGATGTGCAGCATGTCCAAGAAGCAAGCAGGACTGGAGTTGCCAGAGGGGATGAGGAGGCTTCCTCTACTGAAGAACTCTAGCTTTCACTCAGAAAGTAAGGCCACTGGAGAGTAAGCACCAAGGAGACTTGATCCCATGTGCCTGAACACAATGCCAACTCATGTTAAGAGCCGACTACTGGGCAGCAAGGGTGGAAGCTGGGAGAATTGTCTGGCCAGTTTCAGGTTCTTTTGGGCAATAATCCAGGTGGGAGAAGATGGTAGTGTGAATGCAGACAGAAGTAGAGGACTGCTAATTTGTCAGAATTCTGCAGATACTTTTAATGCAGAGCCAGCTGGACCTGGAGAATCAACTGTGATGGGGCAGGAAGTGGGGGGACACAGTGGAGTCCCAGGTCACAAGCTTTAACTGCTGGAGGGATGAAGCACTTTCTTGGGGTTAGGGGGAGCACATAGAAAACTCAAAAAGTGGCTTGGGGTATATTGAGTGTGATATGCCAACTAGATATCTCAATCTCCCATGATCTTCCTTTTTTTTCTTTTCCCTAAGCTTGTATTCTAACCAGACCATCTTTCTTCCTATACCCTGAATGTCCAAGAGAATCCATACCTCACTTTCCCCAGAAATACTCTGCCCTGATAAAAATCTTTACCCTCTTTTACTTGAAGACCAGCGGCCCATCGAACAACGAAGTGCCTTACAACATCCAGTACAAGGAGGGATGTAGTAGTGGCAGGCAGCTCATGCTGTCCAAGCACTATAGGAACTTAAAAACTAGGTAGGAAGGGAAGGGGATGTGCCTTCAGTTGGGAATGGTGAGCCCTGGAGAGAGGTGTGAATGAGGACCTCAGAAAGCATAGGCAGAAGAGGCTTCATTGGGCTAAGTCCTTGCAAAGGGGTGCTCATCCCTAGCCTCTACCACCTGGCTGAGCAGGATCCTCTATGCAACAATAGGCAACGTGGGGGGAAGGGACAAGCCAGCATAGTAGTATCCAGGGTTACTCCATGCAGTTCTAGATGGAAGTGAATAGACTGCAATGATATTGGGAGGTGATCTTGGGGACCCAGCCAAATACTGTTCCACATCCCTGAAAATACTTTAGTGCACCTTTACTACCAAACTACTGAGTGCCTGCTTGAGGCCACTTCAATTTTACCTTCTCCAAATCTCAGAACTTCATTCCAAGTTTTTTTTTTTTTTCCCCTTTTCTTTTTTGGTACCAGGGATTGAACACAAAGGTGGTTAACCACTTAGCCACACCCCCAGGCCTTTTTTGTATTTTATTTAAAGACAGGGTCTCATTGAGTTGTTTGGGGCCTTGCTAAGTTGCTGAGGCTGGCTTTGAACTCACAATCCTCCTGCCTCAGCTTCCTGAGTTACTGGGATTACAGGCGTGCAACATAGTGCCCAGTCCATTTTAAGTTTTTGATGACTATTCCCCAGCTCTGAGCCTGGCAGAGACAGCTTTCTAGGAATCCATGCGACTAGCAAGTTGTTAGCATCTTCAAGGCAGGTTCGCTCCCACCCACCTCATCATTTGAGGTGCCCAGCAATCCTTGGCAGGCAGAATCCACTGACAGAGCTCCATCTTCAGTAGAAGAACATCCGTAACAGGATGGCTTATCCAGGAAGAAAAGGACATAGCCAGCACCACCTCAAACCAAGAAGTAGTCTCTGCTCTTACACACATGGAAACTGAGGCCCACAGATCCCCTGCTTTCCCACAGGCAGCTAGCCGTAAGGCTAAGGGCATATGATGAGCCACAACCTTGACCCGCCAAAGGTACCTAACAGCAGAGACTGAGTTGAAGCCAACATCTCTTGTGAGCAAATCAGTCAAACCCAACCTTATCAATCCCACATCAAAACACAGCACAGAAACCCTCCCAAATGGCCTTGCTGGCTCCTCCTGCTTCTACTCTGGATTTCACCTCCCAGGCTGAGTATGGGAGAAGCAAGATTTAAGTAGCAATCCTGGAAGTAGGGGGGGGGGGGTTTACAAACAGATCGGGTTATTTCAATACAGAGAAAAAAACATGAATTTGCAAGGACTTCCCTAGCTAGCTCTAGAAGGATTTTCAGCCTGGGTACAAGGTGCCTGCAGAGGATGATTCATGGGAATAAACTGGTTCCTGTTTTCACTGAGTCTCAGATGGGTAGCGGCAGATCAGGATGAAGTCCAGAGGACTGGGTGTGTTAGTCTGGGCTTGGTGCACTGGGAAACGAAGGGCATTAATATGATTCCGCATGAGGGCCATTTACCAAGTGCTCAATGTGTGCCAGGCATGGCTGGCCTTGAGGACTATCAGCTCATTCAGTGTCAGCCCCAAGGAGTGAGAGGAAGTGTGTGTGTGTGGGGGGAGGGGGCCATCACCTCAATTTTGCAAATGAGAAAACTGAGCTCAGAGAAGCCCAAGTTACCCAATCACCAGGGATCAAGCCCATAAGGGTCTGTCTGATCCCTCAATCTAGGGCCTCAGTTTCCCCATCAAAACAAGGGGGCCTGGGGGCTCCTGAGGTGTGGCTCCAAAGCTGAGGGGGCGTGGCGCCCTCCCCCACCCCAGGCCACCGGGCGGGAAGACCAAGAGAATTCACCTACTCCTTAGGAAGCGCGCAGGGGCAGGGACCCAACCAGGACGGGTGGGGTGCGGGGTACTCACGTCGATGTTCCTCAGGATGACACACTTGCCATTGGTGTACAGAAAATTGTTGCCCTTAGGGTCGCCGCCGAGGATTTTGGAAACGCCCCTCTCCACCTGGGGGAGGCTGGCGAACACCTTCTCTGTGGAGACACGAACGCACAGGAAGTGTGAGAGGCGGCCCCTGCCGCAGCCCGGGGCCCAGCGAAGGGTCCTAGGGAGTAGAGGGGGCCTCGAACCGGCCGAGGCCGGTCACCTGTTGCCTGTCGCGGGAGGGGCGGCCGCCACTTTCGAGGAGCGCAGGGGCCGGCGCGACTTCCTGGTCCATGTCCGGGGCAGGCCCTCCGAGGCGCGGGCTCCGCCGCCTGGCCCGCAACGCCAACTTCGGGCGGCCCGGGCTGGGGGCGCCGGCCCGCACCCCGGGCGGCTGGGCGCGCCGCCGACCCGCACCCTCCCCGCCGCCGGGCGCCGAGGCCGGCAGCCGCGCCCGCCCGGGGCCCAGCGCGCACTCACTGATCTCGTACGGCATCCTCGCCCACTTGTTACCGCGCCGTGCTCGCCGAGAGCTTGCGGGGCCCGCCGCGCCGCGAGTCACACCTGGCCGAGGCCGAGTCCGGAGACTGGGACCAGGCGGAAGGCGGCGCCGGGCGTGCCGGGCGCGGAGGGGGCGGTCCGAAGCCAGGCTCCGGGGCCGGCTCGCGCCTGCCCTGCGCGCTACCGCTGCGGCGCCCAACCCGGAAGCGCGGCCCCGCGCGCGGCTCGCCCCCAGCTTTGACCATATATAGTCAAGCGCTCGGTTCGGCAGCTGCGGCCTCGGGAGCATGCGCGGGCTGCCGCGCCCCTCCTCCGGGCCCGCCCCGGAAGTGACGTCCCACAGCGGCTGCGGCCCTGTGAAAAGGCGGCGCGGGGCCGAGGCCCACTCAGAAGGGTGTCTGGAGTGGGAAGGTGCGGGTTATCGGGGCGGAAGGCTGGGAGGGTACTAGCTGCTGCTGCTCTTTGAAGCGGGCGAAGCGTGGAAGGCTAGGGCATGGTGGGTCGGTGGTGGGAGCGGGTCCGGGTCTTTCTCGGGTTTTGGGGGTGGGCTCTCCCCAAATTTGAGGTTGGCGGCGCCGGGCGTTCCCGAGCCGGCAGCCTTCTGGTTTTTGCAGAAGTCTTGAAACCCGTGCTGGTTTTGCAAACAGGGTACTTCTTTCTTTTCGGGTATGACTAATCTCGTTTTCTAAGACAAAGTTAAGATGGCTGTGAGGAAAACGAAGGCACCAGCTTCGGCCTCTCAGGAGCTGGTGAATTTCGTGCGTGTGTAAAGCTCTATTGAATTCGACGGGGCGATTACAAAGCAAACGTGGCTTGATCGTTCCCAAACTTGAGGGGATGTACTTCTAGTTCCCTGCTCCTTGAGAACTTCTTAAAAGCCAAGAAATTAAGGGCCAAAAGGATGTGGGTGCTAAGAAAACCGGGGGTTGTTGCCTAAAAAGGCGAGAGGAGAAAAAGAACTCCCCCTTAAGTCTACAGAGGGGAAAACCAGGTCCCTCGAAGCACTGCGGCTTCGAACCTCCATTTTAGCCCCCATCCGCACCCACCCTCCTTAAAGTTAAGACCTCTTAGACACTTGAGGATACTTAAGAGTCCCAAACCCATGCTAGGAAACCTGGCGGTGATCATCTTTGTTCCTCAAGCTGCTGAATCCTGTTGGTTGTATTTGAAGCTGTATCCACCTTCCTTTGCTACCTGCTTTGCTGGGTGCTGCTGCAGAATCCAGCCCTCACCTGGGCCTTGGTTTCCACCTGCACCTCATTGTTCTCTAGGGCGCCTGGGCTATCTTAAAATTGACTTAAACATGTAGGGGCTCCAAGTTCTACGAAGCAAACTGAAAATTTTAAACAGTCCATCAGGGTCTGATGGGGCTCAGGGTGGCTTCAGACTACTACTCTTGGGGTCCCTTCGTCCTCTTTGCACTAACATCAGTATCTTTGTTGCAGGAACACCCCAGGCATGTTCCTGTTCCCAGACCCTCTGATATTTTTCCTACCTGAAACTTTCTGCCTAGGGGATCTACCTGGATGACTTTCTGGAGTACTTCATCACTGATTTTTCACTTATCCTGATCACCTTACTTTAAACTTCAGCCTTTAAACAAATATCTGTAGCTCTATAGCAATCACATGTCCTCCAAGCAGACCTATTCCTGGTCCTCCTCCTTTCCCTGTGATACTTGTTGGCTGGAACATAATTTAGGTGTTAAGATCTTACAATACCTACTGGAAGAAGGAAATGGACTCCAGGTGAATTGTGCTGAGTGATCTCTTGTGTAATGAGAGCAAACACATATCTCTAGCTCTATAGCAATCACCTGTTCTCCATACTTGTTGGCTGGATCATAACCAAGGCTCAAATGGATGACCCCCACTTCCCACCAACCATTCTTGAGGAAAAGCAAAAGTGGCTCTCTAAACTGAAAGGTCCTAGGAGTGTTAAGGCTGTACAAAATGAGATTCCTGAAACATAGTCCACATACAATTGTACTGGTCCTGAGAAACCAGCTCTTGATCATACCTAAGAAGCTATTAAAGCAAGTATTGTAACTATGCCCACTCCTAGTACACTTAGGAAAGCTATGAGGAAAACTAAGGAACCAGCTTCAAGCCCTTGGGAGTGGGTAGCCTTCGTGCGTGTATAAATCCTTGTCGGAGTTGACTGACGCTGCAACCACAACGCAAAAGTGACTCAAACATTTGAAAACCCGACAGGATGCTGGGCTTTATGGCTTATTTCAGCTTAACTAGGAATTTGCATGTCAGAGCTCCAGAATACTTGGATATGGGGGCAGCTGTTAGCTACAAAAATCACTTAAGTATCTAGAGAACATTTGGCGGGCAATTTGTTGGGCTTGAAAAGAGAGCTGGGCATTTGCCTGACAGGGAGAAGCCAGGGAACCTGGGTTGCCTCAGGGGTGGGGGTTCTAACACCTCAATAAAGCCAGCTGTGGCCAGTCTACTGGGTTTACTGTAGTACCCTCTCAAATCTTGAATACATCCTTTAGTATCCTTATGGTTGATATTGACATTCAAGTGACTTTCAATTCTGTGAACCCACCTGGCCACTTTTCTACCCACTTCTGTAACCAAGTGCCTGGCATCTCGGTGGGAATATGTAAAAGGGGCCTTCTCGGGCCAAAACCCAGGTTGAGATCAAACTTCACCTTTTAACTTATTGCTGTAGACGTCTCTGGAAGGTCCCCACAGTGATCACTGTCCTGTGTCCATTTGTATTGGTCGAAACCTCACATACCCCACTCTCCCTGCCACGTTTTCCTTTACCAAATCTAGTCACTTTGAAAGTCTCACCACTATTGGTCTGGGCAAGCTTTTTGCCTCATGTGGGCACTTTTACCACTTCCCAACAGGTTTCCTTACATCAACTAGGCCTCTCATGACAGCCCAAATAGTTCTAAAAACCGGTCCTTCCTCCTGTACTTTTGAGGAAAAATGACCTCTGGGGCCTCCAAGGCCTAGAATGCTCAGGCTGCTTGAGAGCCAGCAGGGTCAAACACCGGAGGTGGTTGTGCTCTGCCCACCACCTGCTTTGGGCTGCTGCATCTGTTTTCTGGCCATTCCTGATGTCACGTGTTTAAGGCCAGTTCCTTCTCAAACTACACTTACGTGGTACTTCTTGCATAGTCATCACCATGACTATAGGGTTAGCTTCTCCTGACCTATAAATGACATCAGGGACCAGACTTGTTCCAACACTTAGCACAGGGACTGCCAAACAACTAGAAGCTGATTTTCACTGAGGAAATCGGTGACATAAGCACCGAAATCTTGCAGTGAGTTCCAGAACTTCTTTTTTTAAACTCGCCACTCTAATACTCAGGCTAGACATAAGTGTATTAGTTCCCTTTGCCTGAGTTGGGTAACTTGGACAAACGCTAAACTGTTTTTAGGTGTGTTAAAATCTTACAATATCTATTGGAAGAGGGAAATGGACTCCAGGTGAATTGGGCTTGAGTGATCTCTCATGTAATGAGAGCAAACACCCATAGCTCTATAGCTATCACCTGTTCAAGAAGTTGCCTGAGCCATTTCCATCCCTGCAAACTGGGATTCTACAAGAACTGTAAGAACCATGCTCTTGGAACCTTTGGGCAAGGGCAGAAAAGAGCAATAGAACAGTTTTGAACTCCCTCCAAGGCTTATGCTCCCACTTCCTCTCAGCCCTCATGTTAAGGCCAAAATGAAAGGGACTTCCCTTGCCCCGTTTCCTGCTCCTTGTAGGAAAAGACTTATGCCAGGTGCTGGAGCATGCATCGGGGAACAAGGTAGATGCCACTTCTCCCTCTGGGAGTTCTCTGTAGACTACTACTCCTGGAAGCAATGTTGGGTGCAGTCACTGACCTGGCTTTCAAAACAGCCCCCAGGAATGTCAGTACCTCTCCATGTCCTTCCTTGGACTTTCTAAAACTTAGAAAAATCACTCTAGAGGATTCTCTAGACTCAAGTGGGTCACTTCTAGCTCCACTATCTTCAAGTGGTCTCACTGCCTCTACCTCCAGGGGACTGCTAGTGAGCTCTAGAGGCCATCTAACCCATGGGTGGGAAGTGATTGTCCACAGCCCAAGTTAAAGTGCAAAGTATTTGATTAGTCTGACTTTGAGATGTAGTAGAAACTATCAACCCAACCCAAGTTGGATCAAGTTTCCTTTCATAGTCTAATTATGTTTGGGGTCTAAGCAGGGTGTGGGATTGCATAGGGCAAAATTAGCCATGAGGCATTCAGCTGTGACTTGCAGAATCTTGGTGGGGCCTGGGGTTCTAGCTTTAGAAAGAGCTAGGCTATCATCCCTCAAACTTGCTCTACTGCTTCTGTCCCCCAGGACTGACCACCTATACAAAACTTTATGGAATTATCAACCTCTGCATTGTAAACTAATGGGCAGCAAGTGAATTCTTATCCCTAGCCTGAGCAAGGTTAGTGGATCCTCTCTTGGCCTATTTATAAATACCTTTAGTTTCCAATTGAGCAGCTTGCTGGGGAGGTGTGGATACCTAGTTCCTTTAACCAGGGCCACGCTAGCTTCCAATCCCCTATAACTTATGGAACCTTGTGTTTCTATGGTAAACATACTTCTAAGAACTGAACACTACTGACAATATCAATACCAGTTGTAACATAGTCCAGGGATTTTGCTCAAGTTTTACTGCTCATTTTCTTTAAGCTGTCACTTCATAGTCAGCTAAGCTATTAGCTGAGATCTTTATAGGGTCTGGGCAAGGGCTTAACCAGCTGAAGTTGACAAATCTCATTTGAAAGTCTTAGGGGGCCTAAACTTTGTCCTGTATAGCTTCAATCAGAACTTTTCCCTTAATTACAAGGGGTCTCTGGGCTGTCATCCTCTCCCATTCCCCTTTTTGCACAAACTCCTGAGGGTGGTGCTCAGCCGCTTCTCCTGCCCTGCCCTGCTGGTGAGACTGCATATGACAGTGCCTAGAGCGACAGTAGTCCTGCTCCTTCTCCTGCCTGTCTTGTCTGCCTCCCTGGGGACCAGCCCCTTCTAGGGCAGTGTTTTATGCCCTCAACACTGGTTTAGCACCCTGAGGGAGCTGCACTAGCTGTGAGCTCCCAGCTCTCATTTTTCATGAGGCAAGGTCTGAGGTTATCTATCAATCAAGTTCAAAAACCAGTGGTGTACAACAACCAGGACTCAAGGTCA